TTTTTTTTTTTTTACACTGATTGCTTTTACACCCATAAAGGCTGTAAAAAGCAATAATTTTTTCCTTCTCTCTGGGCTGCATTCCTGTAGCCATTGAACAATACTGTGAGACCTGTAATTGGTCACAACTTGTCACATGGTACAAGGCTGTTGTGAATAGCCTTGTACCATGTGACCTCTGTGATCATTCACAGAAGTAGTAAACAATGATGTCAGGCAGTGACATCTTGTTTACTACTGTTCATGTGATCACTGGCCAATCAGTGATCATATGAATTGGGACCTCACACAGCAGTCCCATACATCGATCTGTGTCCACCGGACACAGATCACGGCACTGCGTGCTCCCAATCAGCTGCTGCACCTGCAGTGTTCTAATGAGGAGAGCTGCAAAAGTCTGCATCCCTTTAGATGTGATTTCCCTTTGAGAGTATCTCACAAAAAAATGACATTTTTTGATACAGGGGATGCTCAAAATCTGACTTGTATCTTAGTGCAGACTTCTAGGAAAATCAGTGAGCCAAAAACAGTACAAACAGGAAATTGCATTTGGAGGGGGGGCAGGATGTTCTGTACACCATCTGTGTACAGAACATCTCCAGGTAGCCATATTGCATTGCATTTTACAGAAAGTTACAGCGCTGCAGATTGAAAAGAAAAAGTCATTTTTATTAACACCCAATTAAAATAGGACTTTTGTATATGCTATATATTTTTTTTTGTTATTTGCTATTTTTTTTCCCTCAAAAGTGGCATTTACCCTTTAACCATGGAGAATGTATTAGTTTTTCTTCTTTCAAGTTTTTTTACTTTTTTTTTAAATGATGATCCTGCCAGTAACACATTTTCTATTGGTGACAACGCTCACTCATGATTCTGTATCTATGGAGAGGCAATGAAGTTGGGAACACTGTGACTGATAACAGTGATAAGAGTGTAGCACGAGCACAGAGCACAGGACTGGGTTATCAGCTCACTAGATTTATGGCAGATTCAATGGATATTTTTTTTCCTACTTATCAAACATACAAAAAAAACAAAGCATAATGAATGGTATATATTAACAGACCAAAATTGAATAATAAGAGACATTTCATTGTTAGGGTTTACACAAACTCTAAAATATATTCTGCAGCATTACAGAGGTGGTTTGATGAGTGTTTAAAAGGTTGTGAAATGCCATATTTTAAATCTCACCTTTTCCAGCTCTGAGATCTTCCTCACCAACCTCTGTTTGCTCCATTCGTTGTACCCTAAGCAGAAAATACATATCTGAGAAAAAAATATGGACATGGCTACAGGAAATGATGTAGCAATATGGGCAGCACAGTGCCTAAATGGTTAGCACTTCCACCTGGCAGTACTAGGGTCATCGGTTCAAATCCCAACCATGGCACCACCTGCATGGCGCAGTAGGATAAAGGAGGAGAATAAAGGAGCAGTAGGATGAAGGAGGAGAATAAAGGCGCGGTAGGATAAAGGAGGAGAATAAAAGGCGCAGTAGGATGAAGGAGGAGAATAAAGGAGCAGTAGGATGAAGGAGGAGAATAAAAGAGCAGTAGGATAAAGGAGGAGAATAAAGGCGCAGTAGGATGAAGGAGGAGAATAAAGGAGAAGTAGGATAAAAGGAGGAGAATAAAGGAGGAGAATAAAGGAGCAGTAGGATAAAGGAGGAGAATAAAAGGAGCAGTAGCAGATGGTTATCATCCTTCTGTTCACCCTGTTCTCCATTTCTGTCAACTTCCTCCTTTTCAGTTCATTTTCATGTAGCATTCCTAATTGGCAACCTTGTTTGCTTCTTCCTCATCTAGCCTGAGTGCTGCTGCACAGGGCACTGCAAGTTCTATTGAAGTATTTACATTAAATGCATTAACACTGTGTTCCAGGCAGATGTAAATAAAAGTGTTACTAAACCCACAACAGTAAATTCAGGCTGTATATGCAGTAAAGCATGCTTGTTATACTCACTGTGGAACCTTATGGGTTAATCCTCTGCATTGTGTAAGAACGCTGCTTGATCCTGACTTCTCTAATCCTCCCCTTCTTAGAGCGCCCTTGTCTTATATCCTGATAAGATATACCAGGCACTATTCACATGTTCAGTTTGGTGTGTATTGCTAGAGAGAATTGTTTTTCTTGGGAGAGTGCATGTGATCAGCACAGGGCCCTGACAGAGGTCAGGGGTTCTACATCCTCCTAGAGCAAAATGAAAAAAACTCCTCCTACAAGCTTTAACATGTGCTTGGCTGGACACTGATAGAAGTCACAAGACTGCTATATACTACTGATGAGAAAAGGTATTTATCAGTTTATATTTACTAAAATAATTGCATTTCCATGTTCGGTTTACTGTGGGAGACCAGATATAGTGGATGCAGGGTCCTGGGTTTAGTAACACTTTACTACAGCTCTGTAATCATTAATACATCATTAAATGTATTTTTAAATGCAAGTAGTGTAAGGACCTGGATTCAACCTGGTATCACCCTCTTGCAGTCCCTGTACAACAGAGCTGGGTCTGAGAGGAAGAAGCAGCACAAAAAAGCCAATTTCAGTTCATGTGCTGATAGAAGAAAAAAAGCATAGTGACAAAGAGATGAGCTTATCATTGAGATTCTTTCTCTTTCACAGTCCAATCAAAGACTGGGTGGGTCCAATACGACCTGGGCTCTCAGAGAAAGAGGGTTGAATAATGTTGGCTATCAGACTGAGGATATCTAGTGGCAGAAAGATATACTGTGAGGGAAATCACTGGAGTTAGGGCTCATTTACCGCACAATCTATGCGTTCAGTGTGCGTTTCTGCATGCATGTTTGAATGCATTTTCAGTGCACTTGCAGTGAGTTTTTTGGAGCAATTTTTTCATGTATTTATTTCATTTAAATATATTTGTTGTGTTTACGCGTGTTTGCATGTATTCATTCGTGTTTGCATGTGTTCATGTGCATGTTTAAGTGCTTGTGCAGCATTACAAAAATGCAGCATGGTGTTCTTTTTTTTAAAATGCACATGAAAGCACTGCAATAATGTAAACTAGGCTCATTGAAACAGAATAATTTTTCTTGCATATGCATTCATACTACGCTTATGCTGCATTTAAAAACGCACCTGACTACATCTGGTGTAAATGAGCCCTAAAGGTGAATATGGCAGCAAAAGCTGGCCTTATTATTTTATCTTTCAATGAACTATTCATTTTTATCTTGTTATTTTCAGCTGCAATTCTGCTTTAAATATTTAAAAAATATATATTAAATTATTAATTAACAAATACAACGCTTTTGTACTTTCTTGCACACAATACTTGCACACAATATTGATATATAAACATCAGATATTCTTGGCAGAAAAAATGCGGGAATAAGTTGTATAGCACTTGCGTGCACTTGTGCGTGTACATACACATTTGTAAAAATTAATCTATGCAGATTTTTTTTTTTTTTTAGGCCCATTAAAAATAATGGACTACTTTTAAATCAGTAAACAAAAATGCCTCAACAGTAAAATCAGTCTGCATATGCATTGAAGCATGCTTGTTATACTCACTGTGGAACCTCTGGGGTTAATTCTCTGCATTGTATAAAAAAGGCTGTTTGATCCTGTCTTCTCTGCTCTTCCTTTTGTTCAAATGTCCACTCCGAAAAGACAGACTGAACCCACAGCCCTTCTGCATATGCTCAGTTTAGTGTGTATTGCTAGAGAGGTTTTATTTTTTCCCTTGGGAGAGTGCATGTGATCAGCACAGAGCCAATCAGCACTGTCTAGATAGAGGTCAGGGGTTCTACATCCTCCTAGAGCAGAAAGAAAAGTCCTCCTACAAGCTTTAACCAGGGCTCTGCTTAAGTCACAAGACTGCTATATACTACTGATGAGAAAAGGTATTTAGCAGTTTATAATTACTAAAATAACTGCATTTGCATGTTGTGTGTACTGTGGGAGACCAGATATAGTGAATGCAGGGTCCGGGGTTTAGTAACACTTTAATACCTAAAGACATGGCATTTTTAAGATGTCCCAAGAGACTAGAGACTTTAATGTGTCTTTTATATCTGTGTGGAGTTTGACTTTTGGGTAATTAGTAAACATTTGAATGCTGTGAAAAAAATATAATACTTTAAAGGATAAGTTCACCTTTCCGTAAAAAATAATAAATGCACATTTTTTTGCAGGTAAAAAAATGTGAATTTATTATTTTTGTCTGCAGGAGCCTGTAAAGCATTACACCAGTGATCATCAGATCACTGGAGCAATGCAGGTCTCCTGCAGATCTGTCAGAATATCTGCTTGCTCATACGGGATGTACGAGCAAGCAGATATAATGATAGGAAGACATCAATGAACTACCACGGTGCTCCATAGTGCGTGGTAGTTCATTGAGGACTGCAAGCTGACAGCCGCTAAGGCTGTCGGAACTTGTAGTCTCTCATTCACAGAGGACTGTGAATGAGTGACGCAGTCAGAGCCCCACATGGCCACGTTTTTAAAACATTTGACAGCTAGGAAGGGAGTATGGGAGTAACATGTTATGAAAGGTGAACTTATCCTTTAACCACTTGCCTACTGGGCACTTTCCCCCCTTCCTATTCAGGCCAATTTTCAGCTTTCAGCGCTGTCGCACTTTGAATGACAATTGCGTGGTCATGCAACACTGTACCCATATGAAATGTTTATCATTTTTTTTTTTAGACAGATAGAGCTTTCTTTTGGTGGTATTTAATCACCACTGGGTTTTTTTTATTTTTTGATAAACAAACCAAAAACAACTGAAAAAGTGTGAAAAGAAAAGTTTTTTTTTCTTAGTTTCTGTTATAAAATTTTCTAAATGAGTAATTTTTTCTCCTTCACTGATGTGCGCTAATAAGGCTGAAGTGATGGGCACGGATAGGCTGTACTGATGGGCACTGATAGGCGGCACTGATGAGGAGGCACTGGTAGGTGGCACTGATGGGCATTGACAGGCATCACTGGTGGGCACTGAAAGGCAGTACTCATATATGGCGCTGATAGGAGGCACTGACTGGCACTGATAGACGGCACTGGCTTGAACTGTTAGGTGGCACTGATGGGCACTGATAGGCAGCACTGACGTGCACTGATAGGTGGCACTAGTTGGCAACAGTCATAGGCGGCACTGATAGTTGGCACTGAAAGGCAGCTTAGATGGGCACTAATATGTTGCATTGATGTGCACTGGTAGGCACTGATGTGCACTGACAGGTGGCATTGATCGGCAATACTGATCATCAGGGCACTGATCATCAGTGCCCTGATGATCAGTGTACATGTCCCCTCTGAGGAATGCCGATTACTGACTCTCCTCTCCTCATGAGCTGTCAGCGTGACAGCTCGTGAGGAGAAAAATGGAGATAACTGGCATTTCCTTATTTACATGTGATCAGCTGTGATTGGACCCAGCTGATCACATGACAGAGCTGAAGTCATCGGCTCTTTCCGCTGATCGGTGATCCGCTGTGTTCCAGGGACACAGCGCACCACCGATCGCCATGCCGCATGCCCCTGAGGGAGAGCACGCATGGTTAGAGTGGGAGGATGTCATATGACGTCCTCCCAGAACAAGAGAACCACATTGCGCCCGTCATTTCCTTATATGGCGGTCAGTTTTCAGTTTTCATGTGCGTTACAATGCGTTTTATACACATTGTAGATTCCTCCACAGAAAAAATCTGCACGTGATACCAGTGTTGTAGTGTGAACAGGGCACATAGAGAACAATTGATTTTGTTGTGCCCTTGCAGAACGTGTGTGGAAAAACTGACATCTCTGCACCATGGTGTGAACGAGCCCTAAAAAGTTATTATCTTCAGAACTATTCACCATCGACAATTCTGCACTCGCCTTTCGTTCTGGATGAGGTAGGCGATTGGGCCATGGCTCTGTCCAGGTCCGCCTTCAGACTCTTGTTCTCCTCCTGTAGTTCCTTCACTTGTTTGGAGAGTTTGAGTAGAGCCATATTCATAGCTTTCTGTCTCTTTTGGGAATCTCGACTCTCTGCAGGAGGTCTGTCAGAAATCAAAAAAGTCTGAGTCCTACTTAAATTCTATGGAACTAGACAGGAACTATAGAAGTAGAACGTTGTGTGACTTGCTACTGATCAGCAGATGCAGGACTTACCTGTTACTCTCCTCTGCCCCTGTAAACAGGTGACAGAGGTTATATACAGAGAGAGAAACAAGCTATAACACAAATATGGTGTTGGTTTGTCTACTTCTTATTAAAAGTGGATGTATATCAAGAGATCATACTCCCCCTTCCCATACTGACATTTCTGCTATCTTAAAGCAGAGCTCCACCCAAAAGGGGAAGTTCCGCTTTAAGCCTTTGTCCCCCGCTCCCCATTAAGGATTGGCACCTTTGGGAAGTGGGGGGGGAAGGTACCCGAAATTTGACAGCTACCCGCTCCCACTTCCACTGCAATCGTCTAAGGCGATCATAAGCGGAAATTGTCCTCCCCCCCCCCCCCCCCCCCATTCTCCCATAGTCTTCTGGGACACGTGACAGGTCCCAGAAGACTACGGGGCCATTCACAAAGCGCAGCGCTTCTCAGGCATGCGCAGTGGGCACCCCGCTGTGAAGCCGCAAGCTGCCACAGCTGGGTGCCCACACTGAAGATGCTGGCGCCAGGGAGAGAAGACGGCCGGTGAAACCAGCGGTGGTGAGAACACCACTGGACCGAGGGACAGGTAAGTGTCTGTATTTTAAAAGTCAGCAGCTACAGTTTTTGTAGCTGCTGACTTTCTTTTTTCAGGTGGAACTCCACTTTAAAGTGTTTCTAAAGGCAATTTTTTAAATTAAAATAATAAACCTTTTATACTTACCTGCTCTGTGCAATGGTTTGCACAGAGCGGTCCCAAACCTCTTCTGGGGTACCCCGCTGAAGATCTTAGCTGAGAGACATGTGGGTCACTCCCAAGCCATGCCGTGTGTGTGCAATGACAAACATAGCACTGCTTGGCCCCACCCCCTGCTTTCTGTTCACAGAATTTAACTGACATTGACTCCCGTTGCTCTCAGTTTAGCATAGTGAGAGCAGAGAGAGGGAGAGTAGACTGCAGCTGGGCACAGCACTGGATCAATAGAGGACTCGGGTTGTTGAGGGAGGTGGGCACAGCAAGTGCAAAACATACATGCGTCCCAAATGTAAACAATGCGGGACATCCAGTCGCTGACGTCTGGTTACGGAACTTCTTTGTGCTGGAACGCACGCCAGGACACGGCAGTGTTAGTTTCACAGTCACATGCAGCTACATCTAGCGATGTGTAGGCACTTTACTATGTGAGCATTTTATCTTTGTTTTTTTTAGCTTTTATTAAACGTATTCCACTATATGTCATTTCTATCTTTGGGTCCGGTATGTGTATTGTGGAAGCCTATGAGGAGCTTGGAGCATTCATCACAAGACAAGCATCTCTTCATCTAAATAGAGATACTGAAAAGCGCAGCTGACCTTCTTTTTTTAATTAAAGAGGTCATGTACATCTGGTGAGTTATTTATTCATTCCATACCACTAGGTGATTTATGGCCATATCGCTGTGAAAGAGAAGTGCACCTAACTACAGCGTGGAATCACAGTCTTATATGGATCCATTAAGATGATCTATGGACACTTTTATTTATGTTTATATGCACATTGATAGTGTTTATATATTGCACACTTTAATGGACTTATTATGATTACTTATGGACATCAATCGTATGTTTCTATGCACTTTGAGATTGTTATAATCTAACCACTTTGTTTGATGTAGATAGCAGTCCCTATGGAGGTTTTCTATATTTACATGGTGGTTTGTATCACTTTGGGGGTGGCAGCTTAGTTTTTTGATTTTTTTGTTATCTAGTTTTGTTAGGCGCGGGGTTTTCACAATATTTGCATTAAAAAAACAAAACAAAAAAAGTGGCTGTGCAGAGCTCTGCCTGCCTGGCCATTTCACCATTCACAGTGTTCTGTGAAAAGGAAGACTACAAGTCCTGACAGCCTTTGCGGCTGTTGGCTTGTAGTTCTCAATGAACTACCACGGCGCTGTTTGAGCACCATGGTAGTTCATTTGATACTTCTTGTCACAGTGTATCAGTTTGCCCATATGAGGTGCGAGCACACAGGAATCTGACAGGTCTGCAGGAGCCCTGCATGGCACCAGTAATCTGCTGATCGCTGGTGCAATGCTTTCCAGGTTCCCAAAAACAAAAAATTGTAAATGCACATTATTTTTTACCTGCAGAAAAATGTGCATTTATTATTTTTTTGTTAAAAGGTGAACTTATCCTTTAAAAAGGTATAGTGTGTTCACAAAGGGGGTGAACAGGAAAATGTACTTAGGAAGCACACAGTGAATTGGGGGTAGGAGCCTAAAGACAATGGAACTGGAGATTTTGGAAGAAGAACCAGGAGGATCACCAACAAATGTGGTGTTGTATTATGCTGATTTCAAATGTTGAAAGCAGAAGCCGTGAGCAAGGACATCTGCTGACTTTACTTTTGGCTAGCTGTGGAAGAGATAGGACTTCATCCAAAAGGCCCATTGCTGACCAATTCAATTTAAACTAGAGCAGCCGGGAGTGTGTTTAAAAGAAAAAGAAAAAATGTCACTCACCTAGGTGCATAGGGCATCGATCCGCTGCATCTGTCTCCTGCCACTTCTAAAATTGAGAACTGAACGCTCAAACACCACTGATAGCTCAATTCTCAGTCTTCAGTGAACAGAGAGCATTGCTCCTCCAGGGCTCACTGGAGCGCTGGGCAGTGCAGGAGACAGAAGCGGCTCTCAGGCTCTCTGCAGCTCGCTGAGAGGCTGAGCCAGTTGCCAGTTGCCAGTCCAGGCATATGGGAGGATCCTGACTTTAAAGTCGGGATCTTTCCAGAGTCTGGACAATTTGAATGGCGTCAGCTGACAGTGGACTTTAGCCCACTGTTGGCTGAAAAACTGCACTTTGAGATGAACTGCACTACACCCAAAAAACCTTTGGAAATACTTCCCCTTAAATAATTCCGTTCTACCAGCAACTGTTTATAAACAAACACTGGTAGGCAATTGGTTAAGGCACAGTCACATGGGCATACTTGTTGCAAGTGTATGCTTGTGTGGGGGGCCGTGTTTTGCCTGCGCAGGGAAGCACAGGTGTTCTGTGCATCCCATGCAGGCAGTCCCATTCATATTAGTTGGGACATGGTGGCTGTACGAGGGATGATATTAAAGCTACTACTCCCAACTGGACAGTCAAGGCCTTAGACTCAATAGTAGCAAGTTAGAATTAAACACCTACCTACTCACTATTTCAATTTTTCCTGCAGGTGTTGCTTTAGTGCACCAATCCAATATGAACCCTGTTGTTGCTAGTTCTGGTGATCTGAGAATCCTGGGAAGTTGGGAGATTTTTTCCACTATTTCTGAACTTCTCACTAGTTTGGGTATATACAGTATAAATATATTTGCATCACTTTGTTGATAAATGATGTGTTATGCATTTTCAGTGATTGGATTAGTAATTTGCAGTTAATGTGCACATTGTTAGTTTCATTTGGTCATTTATTTAGTGCCACTTTGTTTACTTCTCTGATCTAAGAAACCTGCTTGTGATGCGGGACAGGAATTCACAAACACACCCAATGCAGAAAAACTTGCATTACCTCCTATACAGAAAATATATGCAGTTCTAACAGCCACCAATCAGAATCAATGTCTTGGCAGTACTGGATATTATTCTGGTCCATATGGAATATATACTGAAATATTTGGATTCCAATACTGTCTGACTGTATTTAAAAAGACATAATTTCTCAATGCTGTTTTGGTGTCAAATTAGCCAAACCCAATTCTACTTCTGAAGGATGTTCAATGATCTGAAGACTGAATGTCATAGGTGCCCTGATTGTCAAACACATCAAATTATTATTGAGTAATGATTAACATTAAACTATGGGCAAACAGTTAAATACACAAACAAGCAACATTATATTCAATATATAGGAGATTTACCCATTTCCGTCACAAAGCAAAGTGCTGTCTAGCAAAGCAGAATACCTGATTTCCCCATGCTGTGGTTCAGTAACATTTACAGACCTTGCCTTGCCCCTCCCTAAATCTGCAACTGGAGGATAAAGTAGGAGCAGGACACTGATGAGCTTATCTCTTTATCACTCTGCCCCTCTCCTCCTATCAATATATTCCTTATACTGAAGCACAATTAACTGGTTTCTTGTACTGCTGCACCTCCCTCCCCAAGTCTAAGCTCTGCTGTACAAGGACTGCAAGAAGCTTATACCACGCCAAAATCATTGATGCATTACTGATTACTGAGCTACATTGATTTATCTTTTATATCTGCCTGGAGTTTAGCTTTAAAGTAAAGCAAGATACAGCTCAACATCTTTACTCAGAAATACTTGACTTACTTTTTTTCTTGCGTCTCAGCTTTAGCCAACAATATCTGTAGCCGCTGAATCTATAGAAAAGAACAAAATGTTCAACATGTACAAAATGAATGTATCTGTACCTCTAGCCAACATAGGATCTGCAGGTTCAAGGCAAGCCAGAAGTACTGGAAATAAACAAATCAAACAAATGTGCATCTTTGTTAAACACGTTTATGGAGTAAAGTAATATAATTACTATTCTGTAAATGTAGTCTTCCATCTTTAGTTTTAATTTTTAACAATGTGTTGTCCAACAGGTCAGGAAGGATCTTTGGGGATCCTAACTTTTTCATGAATAATTTTGAAGTACCTGTGTCTGTGTTGTAAATGGATTAAAGTACAAGCTCAATTTAGAAAAATGATGGATCACCCCTTTTTGTTACCATTCTAGGGCTTATCAGACTGACCTGCTCTCACTGCTGTTGGAGGTTCTGGCCTGTCACCAGGGATGATGGGAGTTGTGTATTGGATGGATTTCTTTTAAAGGGTTAGTTCACCATTACCAAAAAATGTCAATGCAGGTAAGGGGTGTCTGTATATAAAAACACACTGTGCAGCTTTGACCAAAGTTGGGTAATGTCGTTGCTTAATGTGTAGACCATTTATGTCAGACCCCCTGGCAAAACACAATTGTACAACAGTGTGAGTACAGCGGTCTGTCAGTTCTTTTTTTTCGTTCAGCCCAGCGGGCTGAAAGGAAAGGAAAGAAACTGATAGTGTGTACGGGGCATTATCATTCAAGACTGGCTATCTCAGATAAATTCGATCTACACTATGGAAGAATTAATTCATATAAGCCTAGATAACATGGTCCACTTCCTCCAGGCCTGGACCAGATGGCATTGTTTCAAATATACTTCCTTATACCAACATATAATATTCTTCCACTTTAAACATTCAGTATGTGTGCGATATGATAATTTTCTTTCACTTTAAATGTTCAGTATGAATGCGATACAACAGAGTATCCAAACACACTCCACTCAAAGTTTTTTTAAATATCAAGGTCCAGAATGTATTTAAATTTGAATAGGACAATGAGCATTGTCTGTATGTACTGTATATAGTGTAAAGGCAACCAGTGTGGAGTGCTGCAGTGCAGGTTTGTCTTTGCCTTGAGATGTCATTATAAATGAATAATAGTGCAGGAAAAAGGTGCATGTCTGGTTTTTGTTTCATTGTTCTGCATGCAAGATCATGGTACAATGGAAAAGCCACATGTGAAGGGCCTCAAAACTTTACCGAATGAAAGGCTTCCCTGCTAACTACTGTGATACCCCACTGTCAACTAAATCAGGCACAAAGCCACATTCAAACAGGCTAAATGGCAGAAAGTATAAAACAACACTCCAAAAATCTATGATGATGATGTTGATAACAATGCCAAATATTTGAAACTGTGTACAACAGTTAGAGAATGGTCACAGTATCAGACAATGGAATACATTTTTCAGATAGCTATTGTATATGTATGACTGTGGTGGGACATTGGGTTATAAGCTGTTTAAGGGTAGTAAATGAGGTGAATGGGTCACTTTTCTCTATAGAACACTGTACATTCAGTACCTACCTCTTCATAGTAGGTCTCCATGGCTATTCTCATCTCTTCCACGCTAGTTGTTTTAAGATCTGTCTGCAATTTGCTGCACAAGAAAAAAAGAACACATAATCAGACATAAGCTGAAATTCACATAAATGTACACACAGGTACAAGACCGCTCCATCTGTCGTTTTAAAGCTGGCATGATCTTTATTGCCTACTTGAGGGGTCACTGGGAAAGCTGACAATCATTGCAGTAGTTGGTGCTACTACAGTGGCAGTTGCTATCATTAAGAAAAGTCCTTTCACTGATTACACTGCATGCAACAAAGCCTGAGAAGGGTGGTGGTGGTGGTAGTGGGGGGGGGGGGGGGTCTGATTAGTCACAGGATTCTCTTTCCCATGCACAATTCATGTGACAGGCAAAAAAAAGAAAAAAAAAAAAACTCCTCCTGCCGGAGAGGGCAGGTGGGGGTATGTCTCATTGGATCATCTTTAGTGCAGCTGAACCCACAGACCTGAAGCTGCTAAACCCCCACTGAATCAGAAGTTCAGCATCAGGAAGAGGACAGGGCAGCCATGCAGTAAAGATTTCTGCAGGGATCCAGCAGCATGCACATCATGGAACATACTTCATTACAGGAAAGTAATGTAACTAAAGCTATAGAGAAAAAATGTTTTTAACTAAACTTCAGCTTTCAAAGAAAATGCCCCAATGATGCATATAAAATAGAAGACAAAACATATCTGGGAAGTCTCAGAAAAAAACTCTGCTATGACTCTTTTGCCACATAATATTTTGAAGACACTTCTGAACACATTAAAGATCACTGGTAGTACCCAAAACATGGTCTCTTTAATATGTTTGATGAATCCAGTATGCTTGCCAAGGCTGTGACCCCTGTCAGTAGACCACTTTACATAGCACATAAGTTAATTACACTACAATGGTTGTTCCCTAAATCCTCACAGTAGCAGAGTGGAAAAAACAAAGTCAATGTTGTAATTGCCCAGGAAAAAAACTCATATTTCAGCACAGAAACTGCTTCTGTAAAATTCAAACAAATATGGAATCCCTGGCCTTGCCCTATTTCATCTTATTGCAGATAGCTTATTCTCTTTACGATTCAGAGAATTGTGTCAACGTCCGAAGTCCCACTGTTTAAAAAAACAAAACCTCAGATTGAAAGGCTCTAATTTTCATAATGTAATGACGACACAGATGCAGGTCGAATTGTACAGTTCTTCTTTTTTTTCCGTTTTATTGTATGTATTCATGCTCATACAGTGTGTAATTGTTTTACAGAAAAACTGCACATACCAGTTATCAATACAAGAAATTTTTGTGGCTGCAAAACCGCTGTCTGACAATAACTGCTGGGACAAAATTGTTATCTGTATGTTTACAAGATATGCACAAATTTTTATTTCTCAATTGTATTGATGTCACTGTATGGCTGGTTTTTGTGTGTTCTTTTTTTTTATCATGCACAGGTTGTGCATTTGTATGAAAAAAAAAATGTTGAAGAATCTAATCAAAAAGATGTGATTTAAGAAAAAAAAATATATCACTATTAGTGGAGAACCTGCAAAATTGAATACAAGCAGCTTTCATCTGAATCTTATCAGTTACCTTGCTTCTTGACAGGTTCCCTTCAATAAATGAATCCATTATTGAGTACTTGGAATATCTGAAGCAACTAAAAGAAATCTTTTCAAATACCTGAGAGCATTATCTTTCTCCTTGCACTGCTTCTCCAGCTTCAGAATCTTCTGTTTGAGGTTATTTATAAGCTGTAATGGGAAACATAAACCATAAAGACTTCATACACATGTTATGAATGTCTTGCCAGTACTCGTGTTAGACAAGAGGGCCAAGTTTCATTTTCTTCATATGCAAGTGCCTCGTCTACATCATTAATAAATACATTTAATTTAATTAATTAAAAAAAAAAAAATACTACTAAACTCCTTCGTGTGAACTAAAGCCATGACAAAAGATCACATGACCTCTGGTTTCCAGGAGCACTGTGGATATTTCAAATCATTAGAGAATATAGAAAATCTATGCTTTTTCAGACAGCCTGTCTGGCAGATTTGCAGTGAGATAAGTGGATCAGCAACACACGATCACAGTGCATCACTGCTAAAAGCATGACCTGTAATGTGTAAATAGGTCTACTCTGTCATACACAGATAATTATAAACTAGTCATCATAAAACACTGTTTTAATATATTAAAAGTATATTGATAAAATTATTTTTATTTTCTTTCATGTTCATTTAAAAGGATTCTACGTCCCTATAAAGCGTAAGTTCACCTTTGCAGTCCTTGAAAGAATTTCTGTACTGATCACCAAAATTCCACTCACCAAACTGTTGTCATTTCTTTTATCCACCAGACTCCGTGTAAATTCCGAGCTCTGCAGGAAGAAGAAGAAGAGACAATTTAGAGTCTATAAGGTAAGCGAGAGGCTCAGGATTGGTAGGGCCTGATACAACACAACCTGGGCTTGGGCTGTAAATTGCCAGAGCTGGCTCAGGCTTTGGTGCACTGCTAAGCTGAAAAGTCCACCCCATGAAGCAATATAAAACATAAGAACCTCAGAATTCACACAAAAGAAGGCACCTTCATTAAAGGCTACTGTACACTATATGGCCAAAGGGTTGAGGACAACTGACCATCACATCTATATGAACTTGTTGGACTTCCCATTCCCATGAGCATTAAAGTGGTTCTAAAGCCTTAAGGTTTTTCACCTTAAAGCATTCTATGCATTAAGGTGAAAAACTTTCTATGCTGCAGGACCCCCCCCCCCCCCACCATTACACTTACCTGAGCCCAATCCAGTCCAGCAATGTGCATGAGAGCAGTGGCTCTCCTGCTGTCTGCCTCCTCCATAGGCAGATTGATAGAAGCGCGAGCCATTGGCGCCACCTGCTCTGTGTCAAAAGGAGCAATCCTGCACGGGTGCCCCCAAGGAACGTGGCTTTCCATGGGGGCACCTGCTGAAGAGGTGGAGCTTTGAGCACCAGCTTGGGGACCCCAGAAGAGGAGGATCCAGGCTGCTCTGTACAACACCATTGCACAGAGCAGGTAAGTACATGTTTGTTATTTTAGTAAAGAAAACAACCTGCTCTCTTTTGGGAAGCCTGCTCACATGGCTTAAAGCAGTATTAAAACCAAAAAGTAATATATTGCAGCTTACAAATCCTTAAATGTGGTAGCTACATTAGTGTTCTTTTTTTGGATTTTTTTTCCTTTATTTCACCTGATGCTCCAGCCAGTAACACACTTCCTTTCTTAGGGTGTCTGCGTTCTGGATGATGAAGTAAAGCAGACACCTTTGGACAACAACACTGCCAATCTGGGGAGAGTTGTGTTAGATTTGGGTGGACTTGACTAAGAAATAAAGCTGAACTCCAGCTCACACTTTCTAATCACTTACAGCAAACAGAATTTTTTTCCTTTTAGGAAAAAGGTTTTACATAAATGAATATAAGCTGAAAATTTATAAGGATAAGTTCACCTTTTGAAGAAAAATAATAAATGCACATTTTTTTGCAGAACATTGGGCCCACAATCAGCAGACCATGGGTGCAAATTAAAAAAAAAAGGCTCCTGCAGACTATCAGGATAGCTGTCTGCCCGTACCACCCATACGGGCAGACAATTACATCTTAGATGTTCTTAGTTAATCTGGTTGAAAAAAAGACACAAGTCCATTAATTCAGTTCAACCAACAGAGAGAAGAAAAACAAAACACACACAAAAACTCCATATACACTATCCAATACTTACGGTTGATCCAGAGGAAGGCAAACCCCCCCCCCCCCCCCCCAAAAGAGCATGATCCAATTTGCTTCAGAGGGGAAAAAATCCTTAAATCCCCCAAGAGGCTGCCCGATCCCCCCTCCCTGTGACAGCAGTATGGGAGAAGTTCCCTGTACTAGATGTCACTTTTTGAAACAGCGTGGCCATGCGGGCTCCACCTACACAGCCATATCATTAATTCACATTCATCATTAGTTCTGTGAATGATCGAACTACAAGTCCCAACAGCCGTTGCGGCTATCGGTTTGTAGTTCTCAATGAACTACCATGGTGCTGTTGATCGGGATGTACAAGCAAGCAGATACAAATGACAGTTTGCAGGAGTCCTGCTGCATGGAATCAGTGATCTGCTGATCACTGGTGCAATGCTTTCTAGGTTCAAAAGAAAAAAAAAAAGTAAATGACATTTTTTTTTACCTGCGAAGAAAAAAAAAAAGCCTATTTATTTTTTATTTTTTAAAAGTGAACTTATCCTTTAAGCTTATGATTTACCAGAACACCCAGATCCTTCTCCACCATTGATTTCCCCAGTTTTTACTCCCCCCTACTATGTAACTTTGAGCAGGAAGATCAATGAACTACGAGAGCGCGCTCATCAAACACCCTAGCAGTTCACTGAGAATTATAAGCCATCAGCCGCAATTGCTGACAGTAACTTGTAGTCTATTATGGGGGTCATTCACAGAAAACTGTGAACGAATGACGCGGTCCCCGTGTGGGCAGATATCCCCATCCCAATGTCACAGAGCTGGGAGCGCTGGCGGCAGGAGGTGGGCACATATAAGCATGTTACACCCCTAAATATGGGTGTAACATGTAACATGCTCCTAAAGGTGAACTTATCCTTTTAGTGCCCCTGTCAATGGCAAATGGTTTATGTCAATCCTCTAACTGCTACTTTGTCTAGACAGCTGGGTCTGTTAAAGTACATTTAAATAAAAATGTCAGGACAGTGCAAAATACCCCTAAAATTACCCCTTTTTGGAAAGTAGACATCCTAGGTGACCTCATTTTTTGCCACAATTTTTGGAAATGAAGAATCATGCTGGTATTAAGGGGGTTAAACACTGAGCTTGGTAATGGTGCACTAGATACATTAACCTCTTGCCCGCTGCCCTAAGTAGTAGAACTAATGCTACAGTGCAGCAGGGCTGCACAAAATCACGTTATACCGTATATACTCGCATTTCCTCCATTGACGGCTAGGGATGTCAATCACCGGATCCTGGCCGGAGATTCACCGCTGGCACCCGGCGATTGCTGTGTAGAAGAACTGACAGGGGGAGAGACCTGTGTGAAAACAACACAGACCTCTCTCCTACCAGCAAAGACACGCTGCTTTGTATTTCTCTGTACAGCACAGAAATATAAAGCAGCATGTCTCTGTACTAAAATAACACACAGCACACACACTGTAAAACACACACAGCACACAGTTAACCCTTTGATCACCCAAAAGTTAAACCCTTCCTGCCCAGTGTCATTAGTACAATGTCAGTGCTTTTTATTAGCACCGATCACTGTGTTAGTGTCACTGGGGGATGTCAGTGGCAGTTAATCAGTTTCCACCCAGTGTCAGAATGCCCTCTGCAGTCCCAGCTATAAGTCGCTGACCACACCGCCATTACTAGTATAAAAAAAAAAAAAATCTAGTATATATATCGCCATGTGTAGTAAACCAATTAATTTTTTTAAAATTTTTTATTGGATATGTTTTTATAGCAAAAAAATCCAAAATATTGTTATTTTTTTTAAAATTGTCGATTTTTTTTGTTTATAGCGTAAAAAAATAAAAAAAACACAGAGGTGATCAAATATGGCCAAAAGAAAGCTCTATTTGGGGGGAAAAAAAAGGACAAGAATTTCATTTATGTACAGCATTGCATGACTGCGCAATTGTCAGTTAAATAACGCAGTGCCGTGGCGCAAAAAATGGCCTGTTAGGAAAGGGGGGGGTGTGTGGTAAATCCTCTGGAGGGAAAGTGGTTAATGTACAGGTCATTTCAGAGCGGGGAGTTGGGAAAAGGTGAAGGGGTAAATATACAGATCACTAAAGACAAACACAAATACTCCTGCACTTGGGGTGAACTCGGCAAAGGCTATAACTCTGTCCTGGCTGTCCTGGATGGCTCTGGGGAAAAGGCAAGACCTCGAAATGCATTAGGCTGTTGGAGGTCCAGGTTTCCTATTATGTGAAGCTATGCAATGTGGACTGGACAGCGCTGTTCTTTTTATGATGAGATCTTGATTTACTCGTCCTTTGTGAATATAATACTTATCTTTTTATCAATACAATTGTGTTTAAGGTAATGCACTAGGCTGGTGTGCACTTTGTTTGTTTTCTTTTAAAGATCACTAAAGAGACAGACTGGAGATAATATGTGCAGGAGAAGAGATTAAAAGGGTTAAAAAACAAGCCCAATGTCTGTGATACATTCAATGTTCCCCATTCATAAATTACTAGTCTCCTTCTTTCCACTGCTGTAAGAGGAAGGCGAGGGATCATTCAGATAAACAATAACGTGATTGTTGTGATGATCAATCACGGCGATCACATGGTACCCAGGCCCTCAGATAGGCTCAGCACAATGTTTCTGTGTACCAAGCCATCTAATGGTGCTTGGTACTCAGTGATTAGCAGGTGGAAATGTCACACAATGGGGTTAATTTACTAAAGTGCAAAATTATGCACACTTCTGCATAGAAACCAATCAGCTTCCAGGTTTTACTGCCAAAGCTTAATTGTACAAACTGAGGTTACAAGCTGATGGTTTTTATGCAGAAGCGAGTCGGATTTTGCACTCTCCAGCTTTAGTAAATAAACTCCAATGGCTTTTTATCTATTGTCATTTATAAGCAGCACTGGGTAAATACTGGGCTGCCAATCCACCCCACTGACAGCTGAAACATTGACGCATGGTTTTCACTACTAAAATACCGCAAGACTTGATAAAATAACTCATGCGGTATTTTAGTAGTGTTTTTTTAGTGAACTCAAACGTTTTTTTTTTTTTTTTTTTTAATGCTATGCAGTATCCTACCGCATACTTGGATGCGGTAAGATACCACTTGTGAATTGTGCCCAAAAGCTACAAAAGTAGCTCCAAAACTTTTTTGAGCTTCAGGCGACTTGTAGTGGAGATGTGAACCATCTCCATAAAAAAATATTGATTTTTTTTCCCCGAGTGTTTTGGAGCTTCAAGCTTCGCGCTACAAAACGCTCAGGTGTGAATACAGCCTTACTGCCAGAAGTAAGGAACACCCTACAAAGTCCAGGTTGTCATGGCCAGGAAGGAAATCATGCTGTCATTTCTCAAAGCTCACTAAGCTTTTAAAGAGCAGTCCTGTCAGTTCAGCAATAGAAGATTGCAGATTAGAGATCATATGAACCACATGATGTGGGACAACATTATTTTACTCACTCTGGAGGGATCCAGCAGCTGTTCAATTTGACGATCTTTTCTGTTATTTTCTTCTTCCAGCCTCCGAAGTTTTGTTTTCATGATGTCATTCTCAGATTTATGTACTTGCAGAGTCTTAAAAATAAACACGCTAAAACTAATACACGAGAAATACACATAATAATCATGTGCTATGATAGAATTTGAAAGGTATAAAGTATAATATACACACAGCACAAAGGTCACTTTACCAAGTCTGTGTGTTCATTTTGATAGATAATTTTTTTACACAGGTCTACATATGAGATAGCACCCAAAAGTCAGCTTAGTACTCAGTTCAGCCCCTTTCCTCACCTGCAGGACAATATTCCTTCAGGGCTCCAGAAAACAATGAGATGACCCAACTGTTTATTCAGCGCAAATCTGTTGTTGGCAGAGAACACAAACTGACTCTGAACCTACTCTGCAAGACCCCCTAATGCCACATAGTTCCCCAGCTATGCCTGATTCACAGCTACAAGGCCCACACTTCTGGGTAAGGAACTTCCTGACTCTTCATTCGACTCCCATGATGCAATGCTCGGTGCTTTAGAAACCAACAATATTGGGTGTAACTGCAGGGGTGTGGAAATTTTGAAATAAATACTTGTCCAGGGACTAAATCCGTGCCCCAATCTACTTGTCCCTCATGACAATCTACTTGTTCAGATAAAAATAATACATTTTACCCAAAACCATATTTAAAGCTGCTTTAAAGTGGAGCTCCACCCAAAAGGGGAAGTTCCGCTTTAAGCCCTTGTCCCACACTCCCCATTAAGGATTGGCATCTTTGGGGAGCGAGTACCCGAATTTGACAGGTACCCGCTCCCCACGTCCACTGCGATCGCCTGGACAATCGGAAGTGGAAAGTTGCCCCCCCCCCTAGACTTCTGGGACACATGACAGGTCCCAGAAGACTACGGGGCCATTCTCGCAGCGCTTCTCGCGCATGCACAGTGGAAACCCGGCTGTGACGCCGCAAGGTGTCACAGCCAGGGTGCCCACACTGAAGATGCCAGCGGCAGGGAGAGAAGACGGCCGGTGAAACCAACGGTTGTGAGGACACCGCTGGACCGAGGGACAGGTATGTGTCTGTATTTTAAAAGTCAACAGCTACAGTTTTCGTAGCTGCTGACTTATTTATTTATTTTTTTTTAAGTGGAACTATGCTTTAAGGAATGTCTAGGGCTTTTAAAAACAAAAGGGGCTTTATAGCAACTTAAACATTTAATGTTTTTAACATTGCGCTGTATATCTCCTCCTCACTGCCTGTCTCCAGCACCACACCCGCAGACTAGCAGGGAGGGGAGAGACCTTGCTGTGTAATGAGCACCGATTGGATACTCATCAGGAAAGGGGAGTATCGGGCTTTTACTTTATTCCTCTCGCTGCCAGAGCCGTTTTTTGCAGGTTTTTTTGCACACGTTTAAAAAATCATTTAGTGCCTGAAGATTACACAAAACTCCAAAACATGATATATTTTCTGAAATCAGAGACCCTAGAGAATAAAATAGTGGTAGTTCCATTTTTTTATGTCACACGATATTATCACAAAGGTCTAAGAAAATTCAGTAAAAAATACACTTAAGTTAATTTTAGGGCACAAAAAGCAATAAATTATCCAATTTTGTTGTAAAATATAAAAAACGAGGTTGTATCGAGTAAATAGATATCCAACATGTGAAACCTTAAATTTGCGCGCGCTTGTGAAATGGCAACAGAACTTAGTACCCTATATTTTCTATAGGTGGCACTTTTAAAGCCCCTTATAGTTCATCATTTTAGCGTTACAGAGAATGTATTGTGCTAGAATTAATGCTCTCATTCTAGCGTGCGCGGCCATATGTAACTTGTGTATCACAATCGTCATTTTCATGTGAAGGTACCCTAGCGCGTGCTTTTACGTCTGTACATATGTGAGAAGGGGGGCCTTGAAAAAAGTTTTTTTGGGGGGGGGGGTTATATGCTTGGGTATAACTTACATTTTTTTACAAATAAAAATTTTTTTTACTTAACTTTTTTTTTTTAAATCACATAGGGGACAAAAAGTCCCCTATGTGATGATTTTTGGTGACAGGTTCTCTTTTTTGAGACATCCAGGGTCTAAAAGACCCTGCATGTCTAACCTGTGCTCCACTGCATGTAATGCAGTGCACATCACACCGCATTACATTCTTTCCCGGCCTCATTGGCCGGGAATCTGTCAACGGGGACCCGGAAGTGACGTCACATCAGTTCTGGGTCAAGACAAGAAGGGGAAGGGAGCGGACATGTCAGCTTTCTTCCCTCCTCTAAACTGGCATACTGCCGGCACTCACTGAACCAGTCGTGGGCCCGCAGATGGGCAAGCGGAGCCCGGGTCAAATAGCGGGCAGGGGGACAGTGGCTGGCACTGTGGGCTGTGTGGAAGCAATCGGGCGACAGTGCTGCCGTCAGAATGTTTCCACCTGACAGATGAGCCCTGCTCCGGGCAAAGGCAAAAAAAAAAATACCTGCCCGGCGCAACATGTCCCGGGCAACCGGAGAAATGAATGGAACATCCCTGAACTGTATCATTAGGTGGGACTAACAAGGCTGCAACTACAATATAAACATAGAAAACATAAAAATGCTTCAAAAGTTTGAATCTTTATTTTTTTTAAATGCACCAGACAGGACAGACAAGGTAGATGAATTGACATATCAATCCTACATACCTTCTTCAGATCTAAGATCTCATCATACATAACCTCCTTCTCTTTAAAGTCTGGTGTTCCCGGGATGTAACCTGTCAGTTGTTAAAAAAAAAAAAATGAATTCACATCAGACATTTAGGATGTAGAACATACAGACATTTAGGGGGTTAGTCTACCTGTTAGTTTGGTTAGATGCCAGTGAGTTTAACTACTCAATAGCTTCTGTAACAATGAGATCTCCTTTTCCATATTTCTATATGCAGCCACCTTCTGTTGTCAGTTTGGGGGCATCTTAAGCATGACATACACACAGATTTGTTTTTTCCTTCAGCCAAAATAAACAACACGGATGGACAAATTTCCCACTGCGGCTATTGTATTCTGACAACCAGCACTGCCAGCTGTTACAATGCCTGAACAGTGTCTGCAACTGATTAGATGCAGGTGCTGTTTGGCCAACAGTTTTCCATCAGACCCTTCCATTTTTCATTTGCAGGAGGTTGGAGAGGAGGGTGCAGACAGAGCCACCCAGGGACCAAATCCGTGGCTGAACAAAAGAAAAATCACAGGCTTTCCCCATCCACGAAAAACAGTGTGGATGGAGAAGTCTCCAGGACCAGCGATTGTATTTAACAGCTGAATACCTGAACAGTGGCTGCATCTGATATGAAACTGTTGCTCTTCAGCTGAATGTTTTCCACTCGACTCAGGTGATTGTTAAAATGACATTCGTCAAGTCAGATAGTGCCAGAGGGCTACTCGCAGCTCAAGAGAGGAATGGTTTCTGCTACAGCAGCCATTTCCAACCTTGCTTCCTTGTTTTGATCTCCCAAAGCAATGTGGAGAAAAGGAAAAAATAGGATTGGTCACTATGGGCAGCACTGGATATATAAAGTGCTTATAATCCTCGGACATGAAATATGAACAAAGCATATCCCTCTATAGTGTGTATTTGTCTCTGTCCAGAGCACTGAGCGTCATTTCTGTCAACTGCTTCATTCCTCTGCTATTAGCATAAATAACTTCTGACAAGTTTTCCTGGCACCAAGAGAAACAAAGGTGACAGGGGAGGGATTTCCAGCAGATTGACAGCCTCAGTTCTGTTCCTATGTGCTGTGTGAAGGGGGTGGGTCTCTTCCCTCCAATCAGCTCTAAGATCTCTCCTCACTGACATCTGCAGTGTGTAATTTCAGCTCTCTGCCCCCTTTTTTCTGAAATCTCAGACAAGCTGTAAAAAGTCTGTGCTTTGAATGGATGTAGATAAGAGAAGAGAGCAGATAAACAGGTACAACTTATGTAAGAGGAATTGTTTCATCTCTTTACTTTACTTGAGGCCAGTCTCTTCACTGAGTATATGTAAGGTTTAAATCCACTTTAAGACAATTCCATCCCTATAAATAAAGCCCGCTGTGTGAGCTTGAACCTTGTTGCCTTAGCTAACATTTTACAATTACCGTTACTGGAGGAGCGGGAGTATTTCGGCTTCTTCATCCCGAAAGCTTCCTTGAGATACTCCGGAGTACTGCTGCCAGGATTCACCCAAGCCTGCCCGGTGTCAGTGTCTGATTTCAGGGGCTGAGTCAGGCCTGTGTGGAGGAAGTAGAAGATCACAAGGAAGAAACCCATGAAGCAGTAACAGCAATGGCCACACAAACACTGCAGTGTATAAAACTACCAACATCTCCCAGTGAGATCATGTAGACTCCATGTAGATGTGAGTGACACACAGACATCACTTTTGTATTTACTTTCATGTTTGTCTGGAAGAAGACCTTGGGGGTTATTTACTAAAACTGCATAGTGTCAAATCTGGAGCAGCTCTGCACAGAAACCAGCTTTCAGGTTTTATTGTCAAAGCTTAACTGAACAAGCTGAAGTGAGAAGCTGATTGGCTACCATGTACAGCTGCACTAGATTCGGAGTGCTCCAGTTTTAGTAAATCTCCCCCCTTGTAACTATTTTTCTATTGTAGTCAAGGTAATTTTTAATAAATCTTAAGGTTTTTTTTCTGCATTTCATAAATGGTCAAATGGAATAAAAATAATCTGTTTTTACTTTACACAATACAATACTGTATTCCAAACTATCTGATTGCTTCCTTTTTATGCAACTTTGAAAACAAACAGCTGAATGTGAATGAAAGGTGCACTCACTCTGGGCACAGCTGAACTGAATCATGACCAAGTTCCATTGTCCCCCCTCCCCCCCCACTCCTGCACTGGTCTGCACTCACACTGGGCTAATAGCACGTGTTCCCAGGCGTACTTTCATCATCTCTGCTAACCAGACCACAGTAAACCCTGCTTCTGTGCTCAGTTATCTATGGAAGGTTCTGGGCTTGGCCACGATTTACACTCACACTGAAGCAAACTTAACCAGACCACAAGTGAACCGTGACCAGGACCACATCTTCCAAGTGGTCCTGGTCATGGTACACTTAACCATCGCGGGGCACAGTTCACAGCACTCACCCAACACAAGCAAGCCAATGTTTCATGGTTCCACGTCTCCCTGTTTTTGTGTATATATATATCTATCTATCCATTCAGTCGTATCCAACCCTTGGCGATTGCATGGACCATCACTCGTAAGCGACTTTTTCCATGAATTCTCAAAGCAATTATTTTTACAGGGTAGGTTGCCAGGTCTTTCCCCAACCCCTACCATGCAGGAGATCCCGCATGGCCAGGGATGAAACTAGGACAATTTAGACAGGATCCAATTAACCTACCAGCATGTCTTTGGAGTGTGGGAGGAAACCGGAGCACCCGGAGGAAACCCACGCAAGCACAGGGAGAACATGCAAACTTCATGCAGGAGGCGCCATGGTCGGGAATCGAACCCATGACCCATTTACTGCAAGGCAGACGTGCTAACCACTAAGATAGAGATATATATATATATATCTCTATCTTAGTGGTTAGCACGTCTGCCTTGTAGTAAATGGGTATATATATATATATATATATAATATATATATATATTTTTTTTTTTATATCCCAATATGGAATATGCTGAGATAAATGGGCTAAAATAAATAAAACATACAGCACACATATGCCATAGAGTAGGGGTCTCCAAACCTTCTACACATAAGGACAGTTTATTGACCTTCAGATTTTTGAGGGGCTGAACTGCGGCCAGTGGGAGCAGAAATTTTCTTGCCATCAATGTCAGTAAACAGTAGCCCATCTATGGTATAAGGGGAAGGAATGGTGCCTCATTGTTGGTGTCAGTAGGAGAAATAGTTCCCCATTGTTGATGTCGATTGCAGAAATTGTTGGTGTCAGTGGGATGAATAGTGCCCCAAGGGCTGGATAAAGGCAAGCGTAGGGCCTCATCCAACCCCTGGGCAACAGTTTTGAGACCACTGCCATAGAGAGTACAATATAGCACACAGTAACCCATCCAGCAATTCTATTTAGGTTCATAACTGTGAAGTTCTCAGATATCTTCTCTTTGCTGATCTTGCTGATCCTTCTGCTCTCTCCTGCATTTTGCAGAGCTACCCTAGAGGTCCAATACACAATTCTAGTACAGGTTATGAAAGTGGCAAAAGGTGGAGATTGATGGAGGTACTTCACTTGATGGGATCTAAATAGTAAGACTAGCAAGGTTATTACAATTATAAATCTCCAGTCAAAACATAATTTTTAGTTGTATATTTTTTTCAACAAACATGAATATTAAAACACAAGATACAAAATAGGATTAGATACTTACTATTGCCTTGTTTAAGTGATGTCAACCACAGATTTCTTGGCACCTTGGCCATTGGGTTCTCTGTGTGCATCTGACCTGTCCCTTTTAAGGACCTCCATACTTGTGCCTTTTTTGGGTGCAGCTTTGGCACTGGAGAGATAGGGGGAGTCTAAAAACAGAACAATAATGACTAAAAGGATCCATCTGCAATAGACATCCATTATCAAACATATACAGTTGTGTTCAAAATAATAGCAGTCAGACATCACAAACCTGATCAATCACTGTTTTTGGTAGAAATGATATTTCTACATGGCAAATAATTTACTAGCAGGTGTAGTAGAGCAATAGAAATCCAACAGACCCAACAGTTATGACATGCATGCTTCTGATTCTGTGTAATTGAATCACTAATTGGAAGGGGCATGTTCAAAATAATAGCAGTGTGGAGTTCTGTTAGTGAGGTCATTCATTCTTTGAAAAACAAGTGGCAATTAGTGCCCTTATTTAAGGAAGGAAGGCAGCAAATGTTGTCCATGCTGGTTACAGTGCATTTCTCTCTGAAATTCTGAGGAAAATGGGTCGTTCCAGACATTGTTCAGAAGAACAGCATACCTTGATTAAAAAGTTGATTGGAGAGGGGAAAAACATATAAAGAAGTGCAGAAAATGATAGGCTGCTCAGCTAAAATGATCGCAAATGCTTTAAAATGGCAACCAAAACCTGAAAGATGTGGAAGAAAGCGAAAAACTACCATTCTAATGGCCTATGTGAAGCCAAGCTATCTGCAAGAAGCCCCCGCAAAGTCCCACTGTTGAAAAAAAGACATGTGCTCAAGAGGTTACAACTTGCCAAAGAGCACATTGACTGGCCTAAAGAGAAATGGCGCAACATTTTGTGGACTGATGAAAGTAAGATTGTTCTTTTTGGGTCTAGTGGCCGGAGACAGTTTGTCAGACGACCCCCAAACACTGAATTCAAGCCACAGTACACTGTGAAGACAGTGAAGCATGGTTGCGCAAGCATCATGATATGGGGATGTTTCTCATACTAGGGTGTTGGGCCTATTTATCACATACCAGGGATCATGGATCAGTTTGAATACATCAGAATACTTGAAGAGGTCATGCTGCCTTATGCTGAAGAGGAAATGCCCTTGAAATGGGTGTTCCAACAAGACAACGACCACAAACACACCAGTAAACGTGCAACATCTTAGTTCCAGACCAACAAGATTGACGTTATGGAGTGGCCAGCCCAATCCCCGGATCTTAATCCAATAGAAAACTTGTGGGGCGACATCAAAAATGCAGTTTCTGAGGCAAAACCAAGAAATAGAGAAGAACTGTGCAATGTAGTCCAATCATCCTGGGCTGGAATACCTGATCACAGGGGCCAGAAGTTGGTTGACTCCATGCAACACAGATGTACAGCAATTCTCAGAAACAATGCTTATACAACTAAAAAAATAATTAAGTGATTCAAAGGAAAGCAAAATCTTCAAACATTTTTCAGTTTATATAGTGAATGTTTGAGTTTGTAAAGAAGAATACAAACACTGCTATTTTTTTGAACAGTCTAATATCCACTTTTCTTCAATTTTTTTTAGAGGAACAACACAAATTTGATCTATTTTTCTTCATGTTTTGATTTGGAATAGAATGTGTAGTGTTCCCAATGCATTTGTGTGTATGGAAATAAAAAAGCTATTAGAAGGATTTTGAGCTGTATTCACTTTTTTCAACACACTGCTATTATTTTGAACACAACTGTACATGATAAAACTTGGCCTGCACTTCTATATCACTTACATCAAAGAGGCTATGATAAAAACTGCAGAGGTTTATTTTGGTCAATTTCCAGCCTTGTAAGCTGCATAACCAAACTCTTCCCTTAAATGATTGTTTGTTCCCAGAACTGGTTATTCACTTTAGTTTGATTGTGAGTAAATGACCTACTTGTGAGAAGTGGAAGGACTGCAAGATCATTTGTGATCAACCATTTAAGAATATACAGTGCTATCCTCCAGAAATGTCTACATCAATGCATCAATCTGCTTTTTATTAAAACAGGTAGCTGACCACCGAGCTTACCACATTCAACCCAGAGATTGGTCTTTTTTATTCACCTAGCAGCTAAAATTACCATTGCGGGAGTGTGAAAAACGCCCTCACTTTCAATTCGCAGGTTGAAGCATAAAGTCTCATGAATTATGGTTCATGAAAAAGTCGCTAGTATTGCTAATAGACAAAGCCAATTTCAAGTATGGCCGACTTTACTCATTAACACCTTCACGTCGGCGCCTCCCAGCCCTTTAAGGGTTTCAGAAGCTAGGAGGCGGGGTTTTTTAGGGTCATGTGACCGCCGTGACACGCCATCACGGCTGTCACATGAGCGGGAAAGGTCCCGATCGAAAGAGGAGATCGGGACCTTCCTGTGAGTTCCAAACATGTGTGCTGGGAGCGCACAGGGCACGCGCTGTCAGCACATATGTTCTTTAATAGAACGCAAATGTGCGGCCGCTTGGCGTCTAGGCCCAGACGCACATTTGCGTTCGGCCGGCGTGAAGAGGTTAAAGTAACCTGTCATACATTCATAAAAAAGCAGGGGTGGCGGTGGATGTGGTATACTTGGATTTTGCAAAAGCGTTTGACACAGTTCCCCACACATGGCTAATGTGTAAGGTGAAGTCTACGGGGGCTTGGAAAAATCCGTATGTAAATGGATAGAAAACTGGCTAAAAGATCGTATTGAAAGTAGTGGTAAATTATTCATACTCTGAATGGTCTAGGGTTGTCAGTGGTGTACCCCAAGGTTCAGTGTTGGGACCCTTACTTTTAAATATATTTAAAAACAATATAGGGTCTGGGATTATAAATCCCATTTCAGTCTTTGCAGATGACACCAAGCTGTGCAGAGGAATAACGTCCTTACAGGATGTCTCCAACTTACATGCCGACCTTAATGCACTGTTTAATTGGGCAACTATGTGGCAAATGAGGTTTAATGTTGATAAATGTAAGGTTCTGCACTTGGGGGCTAAGAATATGCATGCATCATACATACTTGGGGGGGGGGGGGGTACAACTGGGGGAATCAATTGTGGAGAAGGATCTTGGAGTTCTGGTAGATAACAAGCTTAATAATGGCATGCAATGCCAAGCTGCGGTTTCTAAAGTGAGCAAAATCCTCTCTTGTATTAGAAGAGTTATAGACTCCAGAGAGAGAGAGAGAGATATCATATTCCCCGGTACAAATCATTAGTAAGACCTCATCTGGAATATGCAGTTCAGTTTTGGGCACCAATTCACAAAAAGAACATTGGGTAACTGGAGAAAGTACAGAGAAGGGCAACCAAACTGATAAGAGGAATGGAGGAGCTATGAGGAAAGATTAGAGGAGCTAAATTTATTCTCTCTTGAGAAGAGGAGATTAAAGGGGGATGTGATCAACATGTATAAATACATCAGTGGTTCATATAGTGAACTCGGTGTAGAGCTATTCACCCTGAGGTCATCACAGAGGACAAGGGGGCACTCTTTACGTCCGGAGGAAAAGAAATTTAATCTCCAAACATGGAAAGGTTTCTTCACAGTAAGAGCTGTGAAAATGTGGAATACACTCCCTCAAGAGTTGATTCTAGCCAGATCAGTAGAGTGCTTTAAAAAAGTCCTGGATTCTTTCTTAGATACACAGAATATAACTGGATACTAACATTTATAAGTAAAGTTGATCCAGGGAATATCCGATTGCCTCTTGGGGGATCAGGAAGGAATTTTTTCCCCTTGCAGGAGCAAATTGGTTCATGCTTTGCTGGGTTTTTTTGCCTTTCTCTGGATCAACTGTGGGTGTAGGATTATAACTTTTTTTTTTAATGGTTGAACTGGATGGACTTTTGTATTTTTTCAGCCAGACTAACTATGTAACTATGTAACCTCCCTCCCCCCACAATCTAATTCTGGTTGTCTGTTGTCAGGTAGAGAACAGGGTTCGATTGGCACTTTTTTGTTTTTTACATGACAACTTCTCTTTAAATGATGAATAAATCCCTGTTTTTTTCAGCTTGTATAACGGATGCCATTAGAAGCAAATGCATTCAGTTTTATTCAAGGTGCTGCTGTACTTTGCTACAAACTTTCCGAGAGAAAAAAAAATGTTAAATGATATGATACGTTAAATGTAATACTCTCTTGCAGAGATGGTCAATATGGAAAAAAGTCACTGGTTGGAAAAGGACACTCACTTTGTGACCTAGGAGGTTTGCTGGCTTTCTTCTTCTTTACTTTCTGCACAGAAAACAAATTAATATTTTAGCAGTTATATTACTAAAATATACTTTTACTCTTCATCCACTGAAATTTTAGAAAAGATTTAGATGTAATGTATTGATTAAAGAATTGGTTTATATGAACACATCAGATATTTAAAGCTCAACTCCAGGTACCATTTTTTTTTTTTTTTTTTTTACAGATTTTAAACTTTTTATTTTTTTTTTAATAATCACTGCGGCTCTGATTTGGGAAAAAGCAGAGGGAACAAGTAGAGGCACAATATCCAATTTGGTGTCTGTCTTAGGCAGCATTCTGATGTGACATAGAGCCAGCAGTACAGTTCCCAATGTACTTTTTGGGAGCAGCTGAATAGAGTTTACAGAGAACTATTAAAGGGAAAATATACAATTATTTTAGAAAAGATTAAAGTTTTAAAACTGTAAAAGTTGGAAAGGGATGTTGGAATCCTATTGCCCGACGCCTGAGACATGTAGTTCTGGGCACCGGGAAGGTAGTTTCTTTCTACCTATAGCCCTGCTGCAGACAAGGAGCAGGGCTCACCTGTAAGGTGAAGCAATCGGTGGTAGCGCTGCCGCCGATTGCTTCCACACAGTGACAACCTCTCCACGCCCCCCCCATGAGGTTTCCAGGGCTCTGCTTGCCCATCTACGGGCCTGGCTTGCCGTCGGCTAGAGTGGAGGGAGAGGGGAGAAGAGCGGACAAGACCCGACCACACAATTTTGCGGTCTTGCAACGCTGCACCCAATGAAATTTATGTCCTTTATTCCTGTGTGTTTTTTACTATTTGTACTATGAAAAAAAAAAAAGACCAACAATTTTGAGAAAAAAAAACAATATTTTTGACTTTTACTATTAACCATTAGCCGCCCGGCCAATGGCCGTTTGGCGGCTTCAGATGTGCCTCTTCATTCCGGGTGCACGCCATTTGGCGTGCTCCCGCACATGCGCCGTTTGCGGTAATGCAGAGCGGCGCAGCAGCGGGATCTGTCACGGGCCGTGCACCTCGGACACGGCCGATGACAGATCCGAGTACCGGCTCCCGTTGCTGGTACCATGTGACCTGCTGTGACCAATCACAGCAGGTCACATGACAGTTGTATACAATGGATGGCTTCATTCATGATGCCATCCATTGTATACTAGTGCCTAGTTGTGAATGGTCACAGCTAATCACATGCACATGTCATGTGATTAGCTGTGACCAAATCACAGCTAAGCACACAAAAAAAAAAAAAAAAAAAAGCTGAATGAATCGATTTCATTCAGGTAAATGCTTGCTTATAGCAAAGTAATTCTTTGCTATAAGCAAATTGTGTAAAAAAAAAAAAAACAAAAACAAATACTGATCGCTTCCCCAAAGTAGTACAGTGTTACTATGGTAACATTGTACTACTTTGGTCATAGTAGAATATGAAAAAAAAAATCTTAAAAAAAATTAAAAAAAATGTAATAAAAAATTAAATATAATATAAAAATAAAAAGAAAATTAAAAAAAAATATATATATATATTTTTTTTTCATACTGTCACCAGTCAGTGTCCCTGTTAACCGCCATGCCAGTTATATGATGACGCTGTACTGCACTGGTGACAGTATGTAAAAAAAAAAAATAGTGAAAATTATTTTTTTTAATTTTTTCATTTTCCGAAAAATTATGACATAAAAATACAACTTCAAAAAACTCGCCATGCCTCTTATGAAGTACGTCGGACTGTCTACTCTGCAAAAAGGGGTCATTTGGGGGGTATCTGTACTGTTCTGACATTCTTGGACCTCAAGAAATTAGATTGGCTGTCAGTACTTCAGGATTGATCAATATTCAGATCTATACCATAGTTTGTGAACTCTATAACTTTCCTACAAACTAAAAAATACATCCTAATTTGGGTTATTTTCACCAAAGACATGTAGCAGAATACATCTCGGCCTAAATTTATGAAGAACAATTATTTATTTGTAAACTTTTATAACAGAAACAAAGAAAAATGTGTTTTTTTTTCAAAATTTTTGGTCTTTTTTTGTTAATTTAGCAAAAAATAAAAACCCCAGCGGTGATTAAATACCACCAAAAGAAAGCTCTAGTTGTGTGAAGAAAATGATAAAATTTTAGTTTGGGTACAATGTTGTATGACCACGCAATTGTCATTCAAAGTGTGAGAGCGCTGAAACCTGAAAAATGGCCTGGGCAGGAAGTGTAAAATTGCCCGTTATTGAAATGGTTAAACATGTCCAATAAAATTTTTTTTAAAAAAATCAAATTTCGTCATAAACTTAGGCCAAAATGTGTTCTGCTACAAAAAATACCAATACATGTAAATTAATTGGTTTATGTGAAAGTTATAGCGTCTACAAATGGCGATATATATACTGGAATTTAAAATTTTTTTTTTTTACTAGTAATGGTGGTGATCAGCGACTTATAAAGTGACTGCAGCGGACATTCTGACACTGGGGGAACTGACAAACTGTCACTGACATCCCCAGTGACACTAATACAGTGATCAGTGCTAATAAAAAGCACTGATATTGTACTAATGACACTGGGTAGGAAGGGGTTAACGTCTGGGGCAATCAAAGGGCTAACTGTGTGCTGTTTTACTATGTGAGCTGTGCATGCTTTACACTGTAAGCACGCTGCAGTGTGTAGGAGCTGATAGGAGAGAGATCTGCATTGTTTACATACAGGTCTCTGCTCCGTCAGTAATACTTGGAGATCGCCGGGTGCCGGCAGGGAATCACTGGCCGGGACCCGGTGATTGACAGCCGAGGCTGTGAATGGCAGCGTGGGTAGGCCATTCACAGCCCCCTACCCGGAAATGCAAAATCACGTATATATACGTGATTTTGTGCAGCCGTCCCGCCCTGTAGCAGTATTTCTGATACAGGGCGGCGCGAAAGCAGTTATAGTGGAAAATAAAAAAAAAAGTCTTTTTGTTCAAAATTGTCGGTCTTTTTTGTTTAAAATGTAAGTGTAAAAAAAAAAGCTGCAGAGGTGATCAAATACCACCAAATGAAAGCTCTATTTGTGCGGAAAAAAGGACATAAATGTAATTTATGTGCAGCATTGCATGACCGCGCAATTGTCAGTTAAAGTAACGTAGTGCCGTACAACAATAAATGGCCTGGTCAGGAAGGGGGGTGAATCTTTCGGAGGTCAAGTTCTTAAAATTTACCCCAAGCCATTACAGTTTCTTTTAAATTCATACCTTTTCTGTGTCCGATTCATAGGTGATAGCTGAAACTCCATCGTCATGAAACTAGAAAAAAAAAAAACCACAGTTGTGAGCTTTTTTTTACCACTGTGCATTTAGTCTGTTTTTTGCTCATTATTCAGTGTATCTAACTACCTCTTGTTTATTAGGCTTTAACCTCCCTGGTGGTCTAACTAATCAATATTTTTGAATGTCAAAGTGGTACGTTGTTTTGCATGGAAATTTGTTGTTTTATATTGTAGGCCTGTAATTCTTAGGAATAACTTAAATCTGTTGAAACAAGAGTCTAGGATACATCCCGGGTATGATAAAGTTTAAAACACAAAATCATTAATTATAATATAATAATTTAAAAAAATAATATAATAATAAATGTAATTCAATAATGTAATCAAACCAAAAACACTGAAATTTGACATAGAGCACCAGAATCATTTTCAGTGTCTGATGACGAATTTTTGCACGAATCACTATCGCTCAGTTCTGCAAGTGATTCTAATTCACTATCTCTGTTTTCTAGCTGGTCTAAAACCGCTTTTGACCTAAAGGGATGCTTTTTGGATGTCATCAAGTTTCCAGGCATAAAGAATGGTAAAAGTGCAGGCAGGGCACCGGACAAAGCACTAGGGACAAAATTTAGGTGAAATGGTTTGATACAGTAATGTAATACTAACAGAATACAGTGTATTGTGTATGTCATATTTTTACTTTTTTGAATCACCTGCCGTCTCCACCCCCCCCTGCGTCCTGTCGCTCACATGGAACGGAACCCAGAAGACAGATGCCGGCATTGGCTGGAGAACATCACGGGATAGCAGGATAAGGTAAGGATCGAGGGATCGCAGGACAAGCACTGCAGTATAATCCCCGGTGTGCCTCGGGGTTACAGTTTTTGGTACTGTAAATTAACACCGAGCCACACTCGGGATTACCACTAGGAAGGTTAATTAATAATAGTTCAAAACCTGTCTGAAAATAAAATATATTTACCCTTTTAATATGTGTGTTTTTTTTTATAAGTACCACATTTGCAATTTTATTTTACATGTGTATCGTTTACAAATAATCAGGAACATAATGGTATGCTGTAAACTGATGTAAATATGTAGCCATGGACGCATATGTGCGGTGTGTGGGCGTTAAAAAGAAGCTTCAGTCTCCCCCCAAACAAATTAAAAGTCAGCAGCTACAAATACTGTAGTTGCCGAGTTTTAATATAAGGGCACTTACCTGTCCAGGGATCCAGTGCTGTCCTCACCCAAGTTGCTTCTTCAATGGACTTTGGGTCCAGACAACAGCATCTCAGCTAAGGATGACCGGAATAGCTGACTTACCACTGCACATGCACAAGCTGCGATGCCCTTTCTGATGGTCCTGCAGTCTTCTGGGACCTGTGATGTGTCCCAAAAGACTGTGGGTGAAGGGGGGGGGGGGGGGGGGGGGGGGGGACTTCCGCTTGGATCGTCTCGCCGGTCAAGGTGGAAGTAGGAGTGCATACCTGTCAAAACCCATGGATGAAGTTCTGCTTTAAAGCGCACTCTCTTTGTTGCAGCACATATGCGTGAGGTGGGCAGCAAAAGGTTAAATAAAACCTGACATGAAAAAAAAAAATGACATGGGCTGTAATTGCCATGCTCCCTGGCTTCAATCATTTCTGAGTAACAGACCTGCTAAAAAAACAAAACAACAACTTGTATGCTTGTTCTGAGTCTCAGCCTGCAGTCTGGGGTCTGCAATGATAGTCTAGGATGCCAAGATGTGTGTCTGTGGTAGCGCTGGATTATCAGAAGTGAGAAATTGGTGCTTTTGGATATGACCCACAGGGAGTCCTCCTCGGCAGTGGCTGGTGACCAAAGTGCCAAATATTGCAGAGGAGGGGGAGGAACAGTGGAACTTCCACTTTTGGGAGAATTCCTGCTTTAGGTTTTCTGTATGACAGGACCTAACTTCAAGCAGATGCTCATAAGCATCCAACAGTGGAAAAGACAAGCCCATTTGGATATATTAATATTTTATTGATACAAAAGAATACATTTTGTGCTAAAGAGCCTAGTCTTCTAGACGAGCACTGGCTTGGGCTCCAAAAGGTTGTGTGCTTACAAGATTCATGATGCAAGTCAACTTATGGCCTTCTGCAAAAAACCTCCAGTAATTGTTAGCCTAGAGAGAGGTTGTATAAAACTTACTGCATCCTCCAGCTCTTCAGCCTCTGTTCCATTTTGAGTGGCTAGCCAAGACATTCCTTAGTAGGGTGCACCGGCTATTGGAACAACAATTCCAACACCTCATCCAAATGCTGGAGGCCTATAATGATTACAAGAAACTGGCATTATAAAGTGTTATAGTGTTTATATGTCTACAAACACATACATAAGGCTGTCAAAATACTAATTGCTTGGCTGTTTTGCCAGCTCTTTGACTTCATATTGGTAAGTACGCCATTTTATCTGGGACAGTATGCAGATCTGGAACATCAGAGACTTATTCTGGGTTAGTTCACCTAAATGTGCTGCAAAATATAAACACACCCTGAATGTATTTCTTATTAGACTCTAAAGCACAAATCTATTTTTTAGCTACAGACCTCAAACATGTAAGGTGTGACCTTCTTTGGGATCCTAACCCACACAATACACACCAAAAATAACATAATAATAAATAATAATAAATATATAACACTATGAATATTCAGTTGTAGGTGGCATTGGATAAGCATAATATTACAGTAGCTTCTTGTATATCTTTTAGCCTTCACTGGTGGGGCCTCATTAATCCTAAAACAGAAGCGTTCCAAGGTGTCCACATGTCTACTGAACCAGAAGCGTTCCTAAGCGTCCACATGTCTACTGAACCACAAGCGTTCCTAGGTGTCCACATGTCTACTGAACCACAAGCGTTCCTAGGCGTCCACATGTCTACTGAACCACAAGCGTTCCTAGATGTCTACTGAACCACAAGCGTTCCTAGGCGTCCACATGTCTACTGAACCACAAGCGTTCCTAGGTGTCCACATGTCTACTGAACCACAAGCGTTCCTAGGTGTCCACATGTCTACTGAACCACAAGCGTTCCTAGGCGTCCACATGTCTACTGAACCACAAGCGTTCCTAGGCGTCCACATGTCTACTGAACCACAAGCGTTCCTAGGCGTCCACATGTCTACTGAACCACAAGCGTTCCTAGGCGTCCACATGTCTACTGAACCACAAGCGTTCCTAGGCGTCCACATGTCTACTGAACCACAAGCGTTCCTATGCGTCCACATGTCTACTGAACCAGAAGCGTTTCTAGGCGTCCACATGTCTACTGAACCAGAAGCGTTCCTAGGCGTCCACATGTCTACTGAACCACAAGCGTTCCTAGGCGTCCACATGTCTACTGAACCAGAAGCGTTCCTAGGCGTCCACATGTCTACTGAACCAGAAGAGTTCCTAGGCGTCCACATGTCTACTGAACCACAAGCGTTCCTAGGCGTCCACATGTCTACTGAACCACAAGCGTTCCTAGGTGTCCACATGTCTACTGAACCACAAGCGTTCCTAGGTGTCCACATGTCTACTGAACCACAAGCGTTCCTAGGTGTCCACATGTCTACTGAACCACAAGCGTTCCTAGGTGTCCACATGTCTACTGAACCACAAGCGTTCCTAGGTGTCCACATGTCTACTGTACCACAAGCGTTCCAGAGGGTGACCTCCCTGCATCCCACCATCCATCACGTGTGTACCCACCTCCTGTGCAATCACTTACCTTCCCCTCAGAGGGTGATCAGAGATGTGCCCCCTCCCTGCACTCCACCATCCATCACATGTGTACCCACCTCCCGTGCAGTCACTTACCTTCCCCCCATAGGTTGATCAAAGATGTGCCCCCACCCTGCACCCCACCATCCATTACATGTGAACCCACCTCCTGTACAGTCACTTACCTTCCCCCCCAGAGGGTGATCAGAGATGTGCCCCCACCCTGCACCGCACCATCCATTACATGTGAACCCACCTCCTGTACAGTCACTTACCTTCCCCCCAGAGGGTGATCAGAGATGTGCCCCCACCCTGCACCCCACCATCCATTACATGTAAACCCACCTCCTGTACAGTCACTTACCTTCCCCCCAGAGGGTGATCAGAGATGTGCCCCCACCCTGCACCCCACCATCCATTACATGTAAACCCACCTCCTGTACAGTCACTTACCTTCCCCCCAGAGGGTGATCAGAGATGTGCCCCCACCCTGCACCCCACCATCCATTACATGTGAACCCACCTCCTGTACAGTCACTTACCTTCCCCCCAGAGGGTGATCAGAGATATGCCCCCACCCTGCACCCCACCATCCAGCAGTACACAGGCCGGACAATCTCAGGCTCCGGGCTGCTCAGTGAGTCCTTAGCAACAGAAACCAAGGAACGAAGAATCACATCCTTTACACCCGGAGACATTTCTCAGAGCACAGCACCTTGAGACACTCGCCGCCATACTTGGTTTGGGAAAAAAAAAAGTACAGGCTACTACAGGCACGTGACACAACTCTCTCTCCCTATAGGCAGATGATGCTGAGGTGGGATGCGGGGAAATGTAGTGTACTAGACATCCTCTCAGCTTCCTTCTTCCTAGTCCTGCGCTGTTCAAGCCTCCTTCTGGGAGTCCCAGGCCTCGTTGTGGTTTCTTGTGGGACGAGAAGAGAGTTGAGAGGATTGCTGTAGCTGAGCAGACGGTGAGCTCCCCGCGTGAGGTGTATATAGGGGGATGGAAGTGTTCAGTCCAGGAGAATAGTGGGCACACACAGCTCCTCACTGAGGGGACAGGAATGGTGGAGCTCCCCCCTCACACTGCACTATGGGAGGGATGGACACCTTCATCTACAACAGAGGCTCCAACCTGCGGCCCATTGCTTTTATCTGGCCCCCGAGGCACTGTCCCTCCCACTGCCAGCCACAGAGGGGCACTATTCCTCTGACACTAATCATGGGGCACTATTCCTCCCACTGACACCAATGATGGGGACTCTTCTTCCCACTGACACCAATGATGGGAGACTCTTCTTCCCACTGACACCAATGATGAGGCACTATTCCTCCCACTGACACCAATGATGAGGCACTATTCCTCCCACTGACACCAATGATGGAACACTATTCTTCCCACTGACACCAATGATGGGAGACTATTCTTCCCACTGATACCAATGATGGGAGACTCTTCTTCCCACTGACACCAATGATGGAACACTATTCTTCCCACTGACACCAATGATGGGAGATTCTTCTTCCCACTGACACCAATGATGAGGCACTATTCCTCCCACTGACACCAATGATGGAACACTATTCTTCCCACTGACACCAATGATGGAACACTATTCTTCCCACTGGCACCAATGATGGGGCACTATTCCTCCCACTAATACCAATGATGGGGCACTATTCCTCCCACTGATACCAATGATGGGGCACTATTCCTCCCACTGATACCAATGATGGGGCACTATTCCTCCCACTGGCACCAATGATGGGGCACTATTCCTCCCACTGGCACCAATGATGGGGCACTAGTCCTCCCACTGACACCAATGATGGGGCACTAGTCCTCCCACTGACACCAATGATGGGGCACTAGTCCTCCCACTGACACCAATGATGGGGCACTAGTCCTCCCACTGACACCAATGATGGGGCACTATTCCCCCCACTGACACCAATGATGGGGCACTAGTCCTCCCATGACACCAGTGATGGGGCACTATTTCTCCCGTTGACACCAATGATGGGGCACTATTCCTCCCACTGTCACCAATGATGGGGCACTATTCCTCCCACTGACACCAAAGATGGGACACTATTTCTCTGTTAGTGTATCTAAATCTGCTAGTACAACTAACACTCCCTTCCCACAGACTGACAATGCTGCTGTCCAAAGATGCCCCCTGTACTCCTTCATCTAGAGTGGGGGCGCTCTAATACAGGTGTGTTACTGGCCAGATCACCAGATGAAACCAGAGGAGAAGAAAGCCTAACAAAAGAAAACTAATACAGCCACCACATCTAATGATTGGTTAGCTGTAATATATCACACTCTTGGTTTTGTATTCAATACTGCTTTGATTTTGTAGTGATTTTCCCTCACTTCCTGTTTAGGGTATGGGACAGGAAGTGACAGGAAATCTCTCCTATGGGATACAGGTGGGAAAAAAAACACCTGGTTAATAATACTCCCCCCTCGCTCTGTTCAAAATGAATAAAAAAAAAAGTTTTGCTTTTAGTTCTACTTTAAACTTGACCACTCCCAGTACGGACACTTTCACCCCCTTCCTGTCCAGGCCAGCTCTCAGCGCTGTCACACTTTGAATGACAATTGCGCGGTCATGCAACACTGTACCCATATTAATTTTTTAGCATTTTTGTGAGACAGATAAAACTTTATTTTGGTGGGATTTTTATTTTTTTTGCTATATAAATGAAAAAAAGTCTAAACATTTTGGAAAAAAAAAGTGTTTTTCTTATAAAATTTTGCAAATAAATAATCTTTCTTCATAAATTTTGGCCAAAATGTATTCCGCTATCTTTTTAGTAAAAAAAAAAAAATAACCCAAATTAGTTTATAACCAAAAATTATAATTTTTCAAAAAACAATTTTGACATTTTTGTTTTTTTATTTTTTTATATTATTTGTTTTTGTTTTTTTTACACACTGTCACCCTAGCAGTACAGTGTCACCATAGTAACAGTGTACTACTTGTTGGGGGTGATGAAGATTTTTTTTTTTTTTTTTTTTACACCCATAAAGGCTGTAAAAGCAATCATTTCTTCTCTCTGGATGCATTCTTGCAGCCATTGAGAAATACTGTGTGAGCTGTGATTGGTCACAGCTTGTCACAAGGTACAAAGCTGTTGTGAATAGCCTTGTACCATGTGACCTCTGTGATCATTCACAGATTTCACTAGTACTAAGCAATGATGTCAGAAGTGACATCTTGCTTATTACTATTATTGTGATCAGCGATTGGCCAATCAGTGATCACATGAATCGGGACCTCACACAGAGGTCCCATACAGCGATCGGTGTTCCACTTGTGTCCTGAGGACACAGCGGACACCGGATCGCGGTGCCGCGCGCTCCCAGAGAGTGCGCACAGGCAGGGAGGTCGTTTATGAACGTCCACCCGCTCCTGCAATGCTCCAGTCCGGCCGTTTATATAGATGGGCTGGACGGGAAGTGGTTAAAGTAAAACTAAAGGCAATGTTTTTTTTTTTTCCCGTTTTGGGATAGATTGGAGAGGGATTAGAACCCCCGTCAGTTTTTATTGCTGCCTGTGCCCCTGTTAGGGAGATTCACCCTCTCTATTTGTCCTATTCACCATGAACACCAAGACTGAATATGAGTGAAAGAAAATCCCAAATTTTGGGTTGTCACCAGAACAGGAATAAAGGGGAAATCTTCCACTGGGGACACTAGTTCTGGTGACAACCAGTGATGCCCTCACATTGGAGGGATTTCCTCTCACTTCCTGCTTTGGCTATGGGACAGGAAGTGACAGGAAATCCTCCAAGAGGGGCACAGATGGTAAATAAAAACCTGACCGTGGTTATAACCCTCCCTTGCACTATTCAAAATGAAAATAAAACATTTTGCCTCTAGTTGTACTTTCTGACTGGCAGACTTGTCATAGATCACAGAGGAACTGTTGGTGATTGGTGTCTTTGTGAGCTCTGCCCTCATCACCATTCCTACATCTCACCTGGAGATCAGCTAAAGAAGCTTTAGAAGGAAGCGCCAACTAACATATGTAATGTGCACTGTGCCTAGAGTTCATATAACCGGCTTCATGTCTAATGCAGAGAAATGTTTCTTCCAGGATTGGTTATGGATGCCGAGTGTTCCCAGCTCCTCCCTCACGTCTGTGGAGTGTTGCTTGACAGCAGACAACTTGTAAAAGATGATTCCATCTATGAAAAACTGCTAGATTGGTTCAAGTCATTGCTTGGTGCTGGTAAGTGCCATCAACTTCAAGGTATATTCTCATGGGTATGCAAGGCTGTATACTGCCTGGATCAGTGTGTTTCTGTGGAGGGTATGGCTGGGCGTATTCGATTAGAGTGCGCAGCCTGTACAAATCTATGAGAGGCTCTGCAGCCGTCTGCATGTAATTGCACATGGAATGATTTCCTGCAGCATGAGCGACCCTGGACGCAAACAGTCTGTGCACAAAGCCATCAGCAAGAGAAATATTTGTTGCACTAAGAAGAAAAAAAAACCCCCTGGCAGACCTCCATTTATTGACACATTGCGCATTATCTTTGCGCGTCCGGTGAGTGCGCATTTTATACATATCCTGCCTCTCTAAAGTGACGATTTTGGGAATATTGAAGTCACCTCTGAGCTCTTTTATTCATTGTGGACTGTTATCCTATGCATGAGCTATTTGTTATACATTTATCAGGACTACATTTTAAGCGCTGCACCTATTTTACCTTGTATGTCTTTTGAAAGGTTTATGGTTTCCTTTATTGTGCACAGCTGCTTTTATATTTAGCGCTCACTGAGTTCTCTTATCCTTTTATGGGGAAGATAATATGATTGGCTTATATATTTGTATTTTGTAGATCCTCCAGAAATGCTCCTGGAAGAGAATCCATGTCTTGTAGGACTTTTTCAGCAGGTTCTGAATATGGGAGATCCAGATCCCAGCCTCCTGGCTTTCTCTATGAGACTGGTGGGCATGTTTGCAGCGCAGGAAGGAGGATTTCAGTATCTGCAGGTGGGTACATATATGTTTGTCTGAAACAAATTCATTTATTGGGTTTTTTAAAAAATATAACAGAACTTAAAATAGAAGTTCACCCAAAACGAACTAACTAAACATACTCGCAGCCACATGCTAAAACTAAACTATCTAGCCCTGTAAAGAAGAAATCACTATACATACCTTTTCTGAAGCTGATCCGGTCTGGTCTCCAGCAGCGGATGCTGTGTGCAGGAGAGAACCAACAACGGCTGCGAAATGCTCGGAAAGTTATGTTACCCTTAGACTTACTATGGGGCTTCTGTTGTCGGCTGCCTCTCCTGCACACACTGAAGGTGCCGCTGACAGCTCAGCGTGGGACCGGACCAAGCAGCTGCAGAAGAGGTGTGTATAGCGATTTCTTCTTTACAGGGCTAGATAGTTTAATTCTAGAATGTGACAGTGAATAGGTTTAGAGTTAGGTTTTGGGTAAACTTCTACTTTAAAGACAATAAAGGAAATACAAGCAGCCAATTTACATACATAAGAAGCATTCCGCCAGTGGTAGTACTCCGACAGTGTAGATAACCATATAATGACATACAGTAAAATAATTCCCAGCACATGTGCACATGTCAGCATATATAAATCTTTATTGGGAGAAAGTCAGAGATAACAATTAAGTGTTCTCTTGTAAGGTAAAAATACATCTGCAGACCTACATCTTGGGTCCGATGGAGTGCTGAGATGGGTATTTGTGTTTCTAGTTTCTATATTGTCACATCACAGATCTCCACAATAGTTGGATTTAAGTCATATAGGAGGAGGAGGAGTCATTAAGTCACACTTACACATGTAACAAGAAAGAATGAGGGGGGTGGTAATTAGATGGGGAAGGTAAGAAAAGTGGAAGGAACTCCTGGGAAAAAATGTAGTTGAGCTTCAAGCCCAGCAGTTGCTTATGACATTTTCATCCATTTGCCATAGGTCCACTAAACAATACCATATCTTCAGAAGTCTTGTAGTACATGTACGTAGACAGACCATGTGATCCTGTGGCCAGTGGCATACGAGCCTAACTTGGTTCATTTTCTAGTAATTTCAGCTGATAATATTTAGATAGTACAGAGACAATTGATTAGAATGATAGCTAAGCAACTAACATTTCTGATGGAGAGGCCTTCAGTGACTGTCCACATATTGGCTGTCTCTGGCCTCTATAGTTTCTGAGTTGTGGATTTGAAACATTTGTGCAATTAGTAAAGTGTTGGGTCATGTTAGAGCTAAATAAAAAATAATAATAATAGTTATGTTGTGTTTCTAATAAACATGAACTCTTTACCCCCTTCCTGTTCTGGGCAATTTTCAGCTTTCAGCGCTATCACACTTTGAATGACAATTACGCGGTCATGCAATACTGTACCCATTTTAATTTTTTACCATTTTTTTGAGACAGATAAAGCTTTATTTTAGTGGTATTTATTCACCGCTGGGATTTTTATTTTTTTTTTGCTATGTAAATGAAAAAGTCCAAAAATTTTGAAAAAAAGTGTTTTTCTTATAAAATTTTGCAAATAAATAATGTTTCATCATAAATCTTGACCAAAATGTATTCCATTATATTTTTAGAAAAAAAAAAAATAAGCCAAATTAGTTTATAACCAAAAATTATAATTTTTAAACATTTGTTTTACATTTTTATTTTATTTTTTTTATATTATTATTTATGGTTTTTTTTTTTTTTTTACATACTGTCACCCTAGCAGTACAGTGTCACCATGGTGACACTGTACTACTTGTAGGGGGTGATGAAGATTTTTTTTTTTTTTTAACAGCGATTGCTTTTACACCCATATAGGATGTAAAAGCAATCATTTCTCTTTCTCTCTGTCTGCATTCTTGCAGCCATTGAGAAATACTGAGTGATCTGTGATTGGTCACACCTTGTCACACGGTACAAGGCTGTTGTGAATAGCCTTGTACCATGTGACCTCTGTGATCATTCACAGATTTCACACGTAGTAAGCAATGATGTCACAAGTGACATCTTGCTTACTACTTTGCATGTGATCACTGATTGGCCAATCGGTGATCACATGATCGGGACCGAGGTCCCGTCCGACGATCGGTGTTTCACTGTCCGGAGGACACAGCGGGCACCGGATCGCGGTGCTGCACGCTCCCAGGGAGTGCGCACAGCTAGAAAAGGCGGGTGCCGTTTATGAACGGCAACCCGCCCCTGGAGTGCCACCGTCCTGCCGTTTATAAACAGCAGGCGAACGGCAAGTGGTTAATAAACAATTTCGTACTTGTAATTTTCTGATTGATCATCTTAATGAATCACTGCTTTCTGTCCTCATGTTGAGTATCACCTCTGACACTGTCACTCCTTGCAGGCTAATGATGTTGTACAGGATATGTTTGGGGAATGGAGCTACAATAATGTAACATGGAAAGATGCGTCAGTTAGGAGAGCTTGGATACAAGGACTGCTCTGTATGGTACAGCACAAGCAGGCTCTTACCCTTCTACATCGGGGTGGTGAGTATACTAAAAGTTGTAAGTTTCTTCATGACATGTTTGCTGCTCAGGTCTTCATTTTAACCCAGCTCAGCAGTTTTGCAATCCTTAAAGCAAATCTGTCTCATACAGATAAAAAGCAAAGCAACCCATCTCAGGGTCTGCTAGTAGCACTTGTTTGCCACTCTGATCTGCAATGGTCTCTGAAAAACATGAACTTCTTGATCTGGGGAGCAATAACTAATTATTGTTATTATTACAGGTACTTATATAGTGCCGTCAATTTATGCAGCGCTGTACACAGGGGTGGACTGACAACTCATGGGGCCCCTGGGCTATAAGAGATAATAGGGCCCCCTCTGTCTCTGCCTACACTCAAGCCAAAGCCACACCCACACAACACCCCACCTACATATTGCAGCTGAGCTGCATTGAAAGGGCATTAAAAATTATTAAAAAAATAATGAAAAGGTCGTGGAGTCCCCCTCTATTCATACCAAGTCCTTCGGGTCTGGTATGGGTTTTGAGGGGAAACCCCACACCAAAATTTAAAAAAATGGCGTGGGGTCTCCCCCCTAGATCTATATCTGACCCTTATCTGAGCATGCAGCCAGGCAGATCAGGAAAGGGGTCAGGAACCATACCAGGCCACATGCCGTCAACATGGGGGTGTGCTTTAATGAGGACAAGGGCCTCTTCCCCACAACCCTGGCATGTGGTTGTGGGGGTCTGCAGGCAGGGGGCTTATTGGAATCTGGACGCTCCTGGATCCCGCCCCCCCCTCCCCATCCCACCCATGTGAATGAGTATGGGGTGCAAAGTACTGCTACCCATTCACAAAAAAAAAGTGTAGTGTGAAAATAGACAGGAGACAGTCTTTGACAAGTCCTTTATTAAAAGAAGAAAAATAAAAGAATGTTCCCCAAAGTAGATACAACGTCAATCACGATGCTTGCCGCTGCTACCCGAAAAAAAAAAAGGCTCTTCTCCTGACGCTGGCTCCCAGCCGTCTAACTGCTTCGCTGGCTTGACCGTTCTTAAATAGGTAAGGGGCGGGGCCACCCAATGACATCACGTGTGTGTGGCCCCACCTCCTTGTGACATCATTGACCCAGCATGCCTCGGCTGATGATGCCACAAGGGGTGGGTTCACACGTGATGTCCCCGGTGGCCCCGCCCCTTACATATTTAAGAACTGTCAAGCCTACAGAGCAGTCAGACGGCTGGGAGCCAGCATAGGAAGCAGAGCCTTTTTTTTTTTTTTTTCCAGGTAGCGGCGGGCATCTTGATTGACGTTGGATCTACTTCGGGGACATTCTTTTATTTTTCTTCTTTTAATAAAGGACTTGTCAAAGACTGTCTCCTGGTTTTTTTTTTTTTGTGAATGGGTACCGGTACCCCATACTCATTCACATAGGGGGGTGGGATTTGGGCCCCCTTGCTAAAGGGGGCTTCCAGATTCCGATAAGCCTCCCAACCGCAGACCCCCACAAGCACCGGCCAGGGTTGTGGGGAAGAGGCTCTTGTCCCCATCAACATGGGGACAAGGTGCTGCTTTGGTGGGGGGGGGAAGCCCCCTCTGCCCCAAAGCACCCCCCCCCCCCATGCTGAGGGCATGTGGCCTGGTATGTTTTAGGAGGGGACCCTCTCCTGACCTGCTGGGCTGCATGCTCGGATAAGGGTCTGGTATGGATTTTGGGGGGACCCCCACACCATTTTGAAAAAAATATTGCCGTGGGGGTTCCCCTCAAAGGGCTTGGGATGGATGGAGGGGGGACCCCACGCCGATTTTTAAAATTATTTGCCGGCAATTCTTTCTTATACATTCAGTTGCCAGTGGGGAACCCCGCTGACAGCTGCAACATTGACACATTGTTTTCACTAATAAATACCGCATAACTTGACAAAATAACTCATGCCGTATTTTAGTAGTGTTTTTTGGTGAATTCAAACTTTTTCTTAAAAAATGCTATGCGTTATCCTACCACATACTCGGATGCGGTAAGATACCACTTAGTGAGTTGTGCCTCGTGAGCCTCTTACTGGGCCACCTACTGACCCCGGGCCCTCGGGCAATCCCGCCCCTGGCTGTACATATATATTGTACATTCACATCCCTTAAAGCTGTACTTGGTGCACAGGTGACTTCTTGCAAGTCCCGAACACTGTCCCTTGAAGTGGGGAGGTGTGCTTAGGACTATACAGCTTCTGACTTTCAGAAAGTCAGTATTTGCATAGGATCTCTGGATTGGGGGGGATCAGCAGGGAACAAGGGAGACATGCACTATAAAGCTGCAGAATCAGTTTGCTCTTTTATCAAAATGTGAATAGGATGCTTTACCCTTCTACAAGAAGTATGTTGTAATACTACCTGGCCCATACTAAGCTGAAATAATTCACATTTTCCAGCTGGCATTCATCTGGGAGGATTGTATACGATAAGAAAGAGGAGACGGCGTGGTTGTAGAGTTCTGAAAAATGGAGGTGGGTGGGGGGTGGGGGGGAGGGCATAGGGTTACATTGACTGGCAGGCATGCAGGGTAAAATGCAGGCAGTGTATCTAAAGGCAGTGCATAGAGTGGGGAAGGGTTAGACCCTCTGCCAAATTTTAATATGGTAAATGCATACTCTTTATATTCACTTCCTGCAATCAATGAAACAGCAGACTGGGAAAGGAAGAGCAAGCAGTGTCAGCAAAATAGTCTGCACCTCATTGTACAGTGCTGCAAGGCTAAAGCTGGCCATACATGTATAGATTTTAGTTTCAAAAATATTAATTTGATTTTCTAATCTTTAGTGGGGTCAAATCTATGTTCGTTTTCGACAGCAGTGACGAGAAAATTCAAAGGGGCAGAAAGGAAAACTTTTCTCAAATGAATTTTTGACCTGTGTATGTGGTTATCATTCAGAAATTACATTCATTTTAAATTCGAATATTAAAAGCAAAAGACAATTTTCGAATGACATTCATCCATTCACCGAATTTTCAAAGTATTTTCATACGAATATTCTCGTCCGAAAATCTACACGTGTATGGCCAGCTTAACACTGAGAGCTTGCTGGCAGGATGAGAAATCAGATAGAAATGCTTATATGTGTACTACTTTATTGTTTACCTTATTAGCAGCCTCTAAACAGATGACTCAGACTTTCTACATATAATGTTTTCTATTATATGTCACTCAATATATCTTTTCTTTCTTCCTGTAGGGCTGACAGAAGTGATGTTAGGTATTCTGACTGACTCCAGCCTGTTTGTTGCATCTGCTGCGAATGGCCTTGTAGCTCACGTTTTCCTTATGAGTGTGACCCTGGAAAGACAAGCAGACAACAGATGTATATCTGATTTACCAGACACGGCACAAACCATCTTCAGATATCTAGAGAAACTCCTCACCTCCGGTACTACCCATTTAGTGACACAGTCCTTAAAAGCTCTGACCGCCATCTTCAGGGGCTCCCCAGATACACTGATAGACATTCTTTGGCCAAGAATGTCAGAGCTGGTAAAATCTTTGCTGAATCATAAACCCGTCCTTGGGTCACCTCATCTGGAGGGTCTGCTGCTTACTTTGACCAGGTATTGACACCCATTTGTCACATAATCCTGAATCTTTATTGATCTCTTGACCCAAGCCAAGTGTTGGTACTCAGCAGCTTGGTTCCCAATCTCTCTACTGTTGTCATAACTGTTATTATTCAATATCCTGGACATGTAAAGAATTGGCTTACCTTAAAGCGTCACCACTAGTGTGGTGATGGAGCATTCTCTCCATTGTGGTCTAGTGAAAAAGAACTAGTCCAACACTGCCATATTGCAGAAACACCATCTTTTTTTAAGATATAACCATAAATAAACTTTGATCTGTTTTGGTTTCACATCTCCCATATCTGGGAATTTGCTTAAAAACAATTCCTTATTTCTGTTATAGGTTCCCCATGTTCTACAGTGCTGACAGTGATCTGTGGATGGTGGTCAAATGTATTCTAAAAGAATTAAGTCCTCTTCAAGCTGGTTCACTAACTTTTGGGCTTCTAAACTTAAAGCAATGGTAAGTTAGTATATCTGTCAGGGGTCTTACTTTAAGGATAGTAGCCTTTTTTTTTTACAGTGTGCTGTTTTATGTGAATACACTGCATTTGTTATGATGGATAGCTAAAGGTTTTCACAAAAGCCTGGTAGATTGCTATGAGTTTCTAAAAAGCCACAAAGTCTTGAAAGGGTAAATTTTACATCTTCCAATTTAATAAATAAGTTTAATGAGAGTGCATCCTATAAGGTCACTTTGATCTTGTGGCATTAAAGACCTATTTAAAGGATAACTGATTATTTACCTCATTCAGGTGCCTTTTGAGAGGTTTAGAACATACTCTGAAATTCTGCACAGTTTTAAATGGCGCTGCCTTTGCCAAAGTTGACATTCAGTGCTGTATGACTTGCAGGATGTTTTATGCTTACTCTGGGTTTGTTCTTTTCAGTCCACAGGATGTCCGCCTGCAGTCTCTATGTGTACTGCTCCACCCACTGGACTGCATACTGAGCGTTTCAGAGGATAATTTTGGACAGCCAGGTATTCTGCGGTTCAGCACTAGAATTACTATAGAAATAGTTGGTCAGTTGGTCCAACAAATGTTCAGTGGGAAGTGACTGTTAGGACAAGTTGGAAATCTTGCTACAATTACTATTCCCTTCACATGGGTTTCCTGTCACAGTCTCTAAAACCATTCTACAACATTATGTTGTAGGATCCAGTGTGAATGGCTTACTTATCCCTTTGAAGCTTGCAAACCTAACAGGTTGTGGTCCCTCCAAGCGAAAAGAACATCCCGCTTTGAAAAAGTACAAGCAGACAGACACTTTATTGAAGAAGAGACATGCAATGTCTGTTCTGCAATAAAATACACTAACCTGCCTGCTCGCTGTCTTCTGCAGCATATAAACTGAGCTGTGCATGTGCAGCTCAGCTTGCATCACCGGCACAGTTTCTTTATGCCGGAATGACTGACTCCTGCACATGCACAGGAGTGATATCATTCTGAGCTGGCCCATGAGGATGTCAGAAAACCAGCACCCAGCAGAAGTTGCTGGCAAGAGACAGGGACAGTTGAAGGAAATGTAAGTTTAGCTTCACTTTAAAGCCTGATGCACACAGGTCGCCTGCATTTATGCCAAAGAAATTGATCTGGGAAGTATAAAACGAACTTTATACTTCTCGGATCAATTGCTCCTGCATCTAGATGTGTTTATGCTCGTTGTAGCTTCAGAAAAACAGACTAAGTGGTCCTGGGATGTACACAATTCTTGTTTATCTAAATGGAGCTAGACTAAATGCACCTAGACACCTTAACATCTAGTTGTGAATTCAGCCATAGCAAAGGATTGCATGCTTCCAGATACGTTTATAAATGATCTCTAAAGGCATCTGGATGGATGGATTTTGACGCCCATGTGCACGGAGCCAAACTCTGGTATTTTATATTATATACCCAGTACCGTGATGTATATAATTGACTCAAGCACTCGCGTCCCAACTACCACTGTAAAATAGAGTTGGTATAGCAGTTTTTCCCCTACCGTCTTTCAGGCCAGCACTCTGAGAGACCTCGGCTCCTCCCCATCTGAGGAAACACCTCCACCTACAATAAAAAAGCTCCACTCCCCTCTGACCTCAGTTCAGGTGTTTCCTCCGGTGGGGAGACACGAGGAGGCGCAGGAGGACGATAGGGGAGCCGAGGGCCGGATAGCCGGCTGTGAGGCCCGACGCAGCCGGGAGTGAAGGCCGGAGTGTCCGGCTGCATATCCTCCCAGGGCAGGCTGCCAGCAGTGAGAGTGCATCCCGGGGGACGGGACAGGGCACTTACCTGCTCTTCGCCCCCCGACCCCCTCCGGCGAGGGGGGGTGTCGGGGTGGCCGTGGTGAGGTCTGGGGAGGATCGGGGGGAGTTCCGCTCCTTCCCATGCTGGCGGTCTGAGGGCTTTGCCGGGCCCGGACGTCGGGAGACGGCGGTTTCCGGCGGAAGGGGCGGGGCTTCGCCCAGGGCCGCGACTTCCGCTTCCGGTCGCGGCCTTCACACCACGGCGGCGCGCGAAATTCGAATGTGGCGGTGCGGTGCACAGCGGTCTGGGGGACAGACCTGCACCAGGCGACCACCCTCCGGTACGGGATGTCGGAGGCACCGGGACCAGGAGATGCCAGCACCAGCCAGTCACAGGTAAGGTGCCTCAGTGGAGGCCTCCCCTACCTGTGGGCCCCTAGCAGGAGGTAGGGCAAAGGGTCTGCGGTTTTTCAGGCCCTTGCTGCTCTGCCGGGAAGCAGGGGGGGGGGGGGGGTGTTTAGTGTCGGACTGATTGGGTTTCCCTCCTCCCCCCCCCTTTTTTCTTTTGTGTCTTGCAGGGCAAGGCCCGAGCTAAACTTAGGCACCAGGAGCCCAAGCGGAGATGCCCTTCCTGTAAGGAAGTTTTAAAAGAATCTTGGCGAAAGGTTCTTTGTGGCCCATGTATACAGGGGTTGGTGAGGGAGGAGAAGCCGGAACAGGGGGACCTAGCTAGGTCAGTGAAGGAGTTGGCTACCACCTTCGACTCCTTCAAGTCCCTCATGGAGAGGTTTGCCCTCCCATTACCTACACTTCCCCCCCCCCCCCCCCAGGTGGCTTCGGTGAGTCGTCGGGAACCCCTTATGACTGGGGAGGAACCAGTGGGGGACTCCCAGTCTGAGGAGGAATCAGCGGGTGAGGGTCCCTCGGAGGAAGGGAGGGGCCCCTCCGGGTATATAAGTTGACCCTAGAGGAGGTTGATGAGCTCCTGGGGGCTATATACGAAACCCTGGACATTAAGGAGGAGGTTAAGGCCTTATCTCTCCACGACCAAATGTATCAGGGATTGGAGGAGCACCAGCACAGAATGTTTCCTGTGCATGACATTTTGGTAGACACGATTAAGAAGGAGTGGCAAGACCCGGAAAGGAAACCGTTCTTCTCAAAAGCATTGAGGAGGAGGTTTTCCGTTTTCGGAAGACCCGGAGGCGGTCTGGAACAAGAGCCCCAGGCTAGACGCGGCCTTTTCCCAAACAACCAGGAGAACTGACCTAGCGTTTGAGGACATGGGGGTCTTACCGGACTTATTGGACAGAAGGGCAGAGTCTCTCCTTAGGAAGGCCTGGGACTCGACCCTGTACAACCTGAAACCGGCCATGGCTACGACAGTGGTAGCCAGGAACTTAGAGTATTGGCTTACGCAATTACAGGCCCATATTGTGGCAGACTCTCCCAAGGAAAAAATCTTGGCCTCTTTTGAGACCCCCTTTTGCAAGGAGTGGGGTATATTGCGGATGCTTCCGCAGAGTCGGTGAGATTGGGGGCCAGGTCTGCTGCCCTGACCAATTCAGCCAGAAGGGCGCTGTGGCTAAAGACATGGCAGGGGGACATCACTTCAAAAGTTAGGTTATGCGGCATCCCCCTCACAGGAGACTGTCTGTTCGGCCCGGGGTTGGAGGAATTATTGGACCGGACAGCTGATAGGAAAAAGTCCTTCCCCCTCAAGAGGAAAATGCAGGAGGGGGGGGACACGGAAGGCCCGCCCGGCAAAGAGGCTGAGCCTGCGACCGCCTGGTCAGGGTAGGTCGGCTGGACAGAGAGGTAGGGGAAGAGGGGGAGCGATTTTTCGCCCTCCTGAGCAGCCCCAAAAACCAAGGTGACTTGGTTCCTCCTGTGGGGGGAAGATTGGCGGCATTCCTCCCACAGTGGGAAGCCGTGGTCACCAGCCCCTTCATTTTGGATGTCATCCGAAGGGGTTACCGGTTAGAATTTCTGAGACCGCCACCCGAGACTTTTCTAGTGACGACCCGTCCAAGGGATCCGACGAAGGACGCGGCTCTGGTGGGCGCTTTGGAGATTCTGGAGTCCCAGGGGGTCATCTCCAGGGTTCCGGTAGCGGAGCGAGGGAAGGGAGTTTATTCCCATGTGTTTGTGGTTCAAAAGCCGTCTGGGGCGTTCAGACTGATTTTGAACCTGAAACCCTTGAACAAGTCAGTACGTTACCGGAGGTTCCGCATGGATTCCATTTTTACAATCAGGTCCCTAATCCCACCAGGTGCATTCATGGCATCCATAGACTTGAAGGACGCCTACCTACACGTGCCCGTGGCGGAAGCCTCTCAGAGGTTCCTCAGGTTGGCAGTGGGGGGGGAGGAAGGAATTCGACACTGGCAGTTCAGGGCTCTTCCATTCGGCCTTTCCTCCTCGCCAAGAGTATTCACCAAGGTTCTGTCGGAGGCACTGATTTCTATCCGCTTGAGGGGGATTTCAGTGGTGGCCTATCTGGACGATTTGCTGCTCTTCGCAGATTCAGAGGCTCACTTACGGCAAGACCTGGTTATAGTGAGGAACCATCTGGAAAGCTTGGGGTGGGTTTTGAATCTGGAGAAGTCCTGCCTGGTGCCTTCTCAGAAGGTGATTTACTTGGGCTACACTCTAGACTCGGTAGACCAAAAGACCAGCCTGACTTTGGAAAAGGTCACCAAGTTGGAGGCCGGAGTCAGATTACTGCAGGGGAGCAGGTCGATGTCCGTAAGACAGGCCATGTCGGTACTTGGATTGCTGACAGCGTCCATTCCGGCGGTTCAGTGGGCAGGTCTGCATATGCGTCCCCTCCAGTTGTGGATCCTGAGGGTTTGGGACAGGAAGTGTCACTCCCTAGAACGCAGGGTCTTGGTGCCCCCCAGTGTGAAAAGGTCTCTATGGTGGTGGAGGAGATCGTCCAGCATAACTCAGGGGCTGTTGTGGTGCTTTCCGATTTCCGCGGAGGTCACTACGGATGCCAGCGCCAGGGGCTGGGGAGCCCACCTGGGAAATTTGGTGACTCAGGGGGAATGGTCCTTAGGGCAGAAGGACAAATCCTCGAATTGGAAGGAATTGAGGGCAGTGTGGGAGGCTCTGCACTCCTTCCAGGCGGGGGGGTCACGGGCCAGCACGTGCGTGTCCTGACGGACAATGCCACGGCAGTGGCTTATATAAACAGGCAGGGAGGGACGCGGAGCAAGGCCCTCGGGGCCTTAGCGGCGACACTGTTGTCCTGGGCAGAGCTGAATTTGGCGTCCCTGTCTGCGATACACTTAAAGGGGGAGCTGAACCAGAAGGCAGACTTCCTGAGCAGGACTCGGCTCAGGGAGTCGGAATGGGCCTTGAACCCCGATGTCTTTCAGGAGATTGTGCGAAGGTGGGGATCCCCGGATGTGGACCTTTTTGCCTCCGGAAGGAACAACAAGGTCCCAAATTTCTTCTCTCTATCCCGCTGGGACGGGTCCAGAGCGGTGGACGCATTAGGTCAGAGGTGGGACTACCGGCTTTGTTACGCCTTTCCCCCGCTTCCTTTGCTCCCCCTGGTCCTGAGGAAATTCAGGACAGAGGGGACCTCGTTAATCCTGATAGCTCCCTTCTGGCCGCGGCGGGCGTGGTTTGCGACCCTGAAGAGTTTGGCCTCTCGTCCACCCTGGGAGCTGCCACCAAGAGTGGATTTGTTAACACAGGGGCCGGTTCTTTGCCCCAGCGTAGGAAGATTGCGGTTAACGGCCTGGTTTCTGAGCAGCAGCTCCTCTTAGAGAAGGGGTTCTCGCCTAGGGTGGTGGCGACATTACTGGCCAGTAGGAAGGAGGAGACCCAGGCCATTTATGGTAGGGTCTGGGGTTGCTTTACAGCCTGGTGTGACCGGACAGCTGTGGCAACCCATAGTTTGGTTTCTGTGTTGGAATTCCTGCAGGCGGGAGCGGACAAGGGATTGTCTGTCAGCACGCTCAAGGGCAGGTCTCGGCCCTCAGTGTGTTCTTGGAGACGCCCCTGGCCAGGGAGGCGTTGGTGAGTAGGTTTTTCAAAGCTCTGGTGAGGCAGAGGCCTCCGAGGTCCAGACCATTTCCAGTGTGGGGATTTGGCCAAGGTGCTCGGGGGGATGACTAGGGCTCCGTTCGAGCCCTTGGAGTCCTGTCCGATAGGTGAGCTCACCATTAAGACTGCTTTTCTGGTGGCGATTACCACGGCGAGGAGGGTGTGTGAGATGGAGGCCCTCTCGATCAGAACACCCTATCTCCGTATTTTTTCAGACAGGATCGTTTTCAGACCAGACCCGTCCTTCATTCCGAAGGTAGCTCGGAGTTTCCAGAGGGAACAGGACATTGTCCTTCCCTCATTTTTTCCTGACCCGGTGGGGGTAGATCAGGAGAGGTATCATTGTTTAGATGTCAGAAGGTGCGTTCTCCAGTATCTAGAGAAATCTAGGGAGTTCAGAAGCACCGAATCCCTTTTTGTTTTTTTTAAGGGGGCTAGAAGAGGCAAGAAGGCGTCTAGAAGGACGCTGGCCAGCTGGCTGCGGCTGGCGATTACAGGAGCATATCAGGCAGAAGGCCTGGAGGTCCCGGAGGGTATCAAGGCACATTCCACCCGAGCTGTGGCGGCTACCCAGGCAGAGTTAGCAGGGGTTTCCCCAGGGCAGATTTGCAGAGCGGCAACATGGTCCAGCTATGACACATTTGCCAAGCATTACAGACTGGACCTGGTCTCGGTGCAGGAGCAGGACTTTGGTCGTAAGGTCTTACAAGCAGTTAGCCCGCCCGAAGGGTGAGTACTCGCTTATCCTCTCAGAGTGCTGGCCTGAAAGACGGTAGGGGAAAAACCAAGTTACACTTACGGTAACGTCTTTTCCAGGAGTCTTTCAGGCCAGCACCGGTTTCCCACCCACTGTTGATATTGGTTATGTGAAGATGGCTTATTATGATTATGTTGTCTCGCATTGTGTCTCCCCAGATGACCGGAGGATGCTTGGAGAACTGAGGTCAGAGGGGAGTGGAGCTTTTTTATTGTAGGTGGAGGTGTTTCCTCAGATGGGGAGGAGCCGAGGTCTCTCAGAGTGCTGGCCTGAAAGACTCCTGGAAAAGACGTTACCGTAAGTGTAACTTGGTTTTTTTTTTTTTTTTTTCTTTCATCCTAGCTGGTCATTTTTTTTTTTGGGTAACGGTTGGGGACATGCTTCACATAAAAAAAAAAAAAGACAGTTATCCGTTTGATGAGGTCTAAAAATGACTTAGCTTCTCCCATATTTGGCCTAAATAAGGTGGAACGATATCCATAGATGTGCAACTGTGTCTCTAAAAACTGAAGTGTCACCTTCATTGTCTGTAGAATAAGGACCTGGCTCTGCTAATTTTATGATACTTGACAGACTAAAGCAGACTAAGGAACATCCGAGTTAGAATTTGAAAGAGCTTGTTATGGCCTACTAAGGATATCTCAAGGTCATGCCATTTCTTTGGCTTTCCTAAGATTTCCTATAACATCCATACAATATGTATTTTCATTAGTTACAGCATCTAGACATGTATATGCATTGGCTTTGTAGGTCTTCTAGATGAACCTGTGTGCGATCCAGTCCTTGTTGAGAGCCTCCTGTCTACAAAATCTTCATGTACTGGACTGTTGTGTCAGTGTCTGAGCCATCTAACAGATCTGAGTGAGAAGGTACGTTTTTTTTTATTACAGCACACCCCTGGAAATATGTGTAGTATGCCCTCTATTTACCTTCTGTAATATCTTTTATTAGGGCTGTCTTCCGACACAGATTCCCCATGACTCTGTTCTGAATTCTGTTGTGTCAGTGCTGAAGTTGTGCATCGGTCTGTCAGTGTGTGCGTCCCCTGAAGGGTCCCACTTCAGCAGGTTCTTAATAGGTTGTCTTCGAGTTCAAAGGTCAGCGCTGGATGCCATCGGAGCTCTTTCAGTTTGGCCATGTGAGCTAAATATTGCACAGTTATATAAAATACCAATGCACAGATTAAACATTACCAAAAACCTAAAATCTGGCAGGTTTATATGATGGTGGGTGGGGTTAAAGTGTACATAAAAGCATTTTTTTACATTTTGGATAGAGTAGGAAAGGATTAGGCCTTTTGTCAAGCTTTTATTGCTGTCTGTGTCCTCACTGAGGTGATTCACACCTCTATTTGTTCTGAGGACCATTGTCACCTTGACAGAAAATGAGGGAAAATACAAAAAGTTTGAGCTGCAGTGGCTGAGGGAGAGTTCTCCATTGGGCACAACTGTTCATTTGACAACTCTCAAAAGATAGGCGATCCATCCATTTTGGAGAGATTTCCTCTCATTTCCTGATGGGGCACCAGAACAGGAAGTAATGGGAAAACTCCATCTGTACAAAAACAGCAAAATATAATTTGACAGTGGTTTTGTCCCTTCTTTACTCTATTCAAATAAAAAAAAAAAACCTGTTGGCTTTACATACATTTTAATTCTTGCATGGGAGCCTGCTGTTAATTGCAAGGTAGCATTGTCAGCCTGCAAAGGAAGTGCTAATACCATCAGGAAATCCCTGTAAGAAACATGTCAATAGATTTACAATAAATGTTTGCTTAAGATAATTGTATACAGTAAAGCATGATGCCAATGATATTGAAAAATACATTTTCAGTTTTCATATGCTTTTAATCACCGTAAGAATATAATGCTGTAATGTTTCTGAAATTTGTCTCTGCATTGTAGTGAGGCAGGAAGGTTTGGAGAAAACACACAAAGTGCTCTGTGCATATTTGGAGAACCCAGAAACCGACCCAACGGTAAGAGCCATACACTTTTTTTTATTGTATTGCACAGAAACATACATATGTGCTGGAGTAAGGCACGCTGTGGTGACTGTATATTTTATGTGTTTTATCGCTGGAAGCCTTTCCAGACATGTCTCCTTTGATTCCCCTTTGTCCTCATTTTAGGTTCTGAAAAAAGCTTTCCAGGCCTCACTGAAGTGGCTTCAGGCTTCCTACACCTCTGCTGAGCACAAAGAAGAAAGCCACAGTTTTCTAGAAGGTTTGAAAACATGACATACAATGTTCCACAGTTTGCCATTCATGTTTATGTTTCTGTGGTCTGTGGATAACCAGAAGGGTGTCTTTTCTAAATTGTATTTCTACATGGGTCATACTGAAAATGAATCTCCCATCCTTGTGAAAGCAAAAAGCTCTGCCTAGAAATAGTCACAGCCGAGTAACTATCCTGGGATCATAGGAGAGAAGCAACATGAACCCAGAAATTAGTGTGAAAGAAATTCTTGTGGGATGAATCCACAGAAGATATGACAGAATAACATGGGTATAATTTCAGAACAGTGCATATCTCAATCCATATCTCCCCACACCAAACCTTAATTCAAGATCAGATTTTTTTTTTTTTTAGATTTTGCTGGACAGGAATTACATAAGTATGCTACTTTATGCATTGATATAACTCTGATAAGTAAGTTAATCAAACATATTAGTAGAGACTGAGAGTTTCTTGCAAAGGATAGTTATCTCCTTTCTGACATAGTATAGCAAGGATTTTATAAGAGAGGTTGAGAAATTGTGAGCTGTCAGATTTTACTGCTATCTGGAGCTCGGCAGAGAGATTTTTCTCACACTTTTTTGGTTTCACTAGACAGGAAGTGATGGGTACATCTCCTATGGGCAACACAGAACGAAATACATGTATATGTGTAGGCTAGACCCCCTTGTCAGATTATCCCTGTTGCTGATTTTCCCTCATTTTCTGTTTGGTAAAACATTTGGCAGAGGCACAGGAAAGGAGGGGAAATCTCTCTAACGGATTTCCCATAGCAGTAGAATGTTACAGAGGTGTTCTAACCCTTCCTCAATCTATACATTTAAATGTTCTTTGCTGGACTTACACTTTAAAAGTAACAGTTTAAGGTTAGAGATGTTTGAAAGTACTGAATTGAATGGGATTTTCAATACAAAAACACCAGGTTTTTAAATGAAATTCACCCTCTGAATGGGCTCTTCTCTCTTGAGTCGGCAGGAAATAATGTAGATTTTTTTAGCAGTTCAAACATATCTCTAAATAGTAACCAAATTAACAATCGTGATAAGAAGCGTATGTGATGAGTACGTTTCATCTTTCAGATGTTGAACAGCAATATCATCTCTGCCAACCCCCTAAATTGCAGACTTCAAATCAAAGTTTGAATCTGGACAGCAAGTGTTCCTGGGCCAATTCAAATAAAAACCGATGTACAACATATTATTTAAAAAACAGTACTAATATGAAATTAATACAAAGCCGTAATAGTTTTCTTTTCAGTTAATAGTGTGATTTGGGGGTAACAGATACCTCTCCACTTTAAAGAATATTGGACCGGCAGAGACAGATCCATGTGTATAGCCCAGAGCATGAGGCTGCTTACTTCATATTTAATTTCCCTGACCTATCACTTCACAGGATATAAAATCTTTGGTCTTGGAGGTGCTCCTGGTGGAACTTCTTGAGTTGGCATTCTGTGTGTGCCGTCTTCACCACCATTAAGGCAGTTTCTGGTAGCAGAGTGTAGAGCAAAGTACAATATTGGGTCAGTTCCCTCTGCAGCTTCACAAAATTATCATTATGGGGTTGATTTACTAAAGGCAAACAGACTATGCACTTTGCAAAAGCAGTTGCTCCAGAGCTTAGTAAATGAGCAGATGCTCTGCTGACTTTCATCATTCAATCATGTGCAGGTAAAAATGCTGTTATTTTTTATTTCCTTGCATGTGATTGGGTCTCTTTGCAAAGTGAAGCTTTACCTCATTTACTAAGCTCTGGAGCAACTGCACTTGCAGAGTGCACAGTCCTGTTTGCCTTTAGTAAATCAACCTCTATGTTTCTTCTTTGTTGATCTGATTTATCCGCTCTGTTTTCTAGTCATTTGACTCTACAATGTTTTTATGGAAGAGGAGTGTGAGACTCACCTGTGTTGCCAAATCCTTATTCTGTATTCCCCATTCTAATGTGCATTTGTTTTTTCTAAAAAATGTATTAAACTGGAATCAGACTATAAATATTTCATATTCATGATGAGAGTTATCTGAAAGGGAGTGATAGGGAGTGTCCAGGCTCCATACTTTATGTAGCTGGCTTGTTTTAAACTTGGCAGTTTCCCAAAAGTTCTAAGGTAGGGGTTTCCAAGTTGTAATGTCACAGAACAGACCTACAGTTAGGGTAAATAAGAAAAAGTATTATTATAGTATAGCAGGAGGGACTTGCAATATGATGTACCATAAACAAGTCCTGCAAATGGCATTCCTGCACAAATTAAGTACATGATAATCTACATACAAAAATAATTTACCCTTGACAGTGCAGGCTGCATCTATGGAAATGGAAATAGGAGTGACATAGGCTCAGAAGTGTTTATTGTGAGTGGAGAAGATTGTGGCTGCAGCTTGCTCTGGGCTTTGTAATCTCAGATCGGGGTCTGGAGCTTGAAGGGTTCATAGTGTCCAGGTCTTGCTGGAGAACTGCAGACCATGTGAGTGCACAGGTGTGCAGACTCATTATAGGCCAGGCCTAGCCATAGCTCAAAGCTCCCATTTGGAGACAGATCCTTTGTGTGGAGACAAGTGTGTGCTCCAGCCAGGAGAAGTGATTGACTCAGGAGACAGAACTCCATGTGGGAGACATTCCTTACCTGCAGGACTGGAAGAGTTGGGACAGTTGAGCAAGTCGGGGGGACTGAGGGAGCTGACTAGCAACTAGCAAGGCTGGGGGACTGGAGAAGATCTGCAAATCTATGAAGAGTGGGAGAGCCCGGGGTGCCAGGAGAACCCTATCAAGAAGGGAGGATTGGGTCCATGCAGCTAGGTTCTGTAACTAAAGCTGAGTGAGTCTGGGAGACCAAAGATGATATCATCGGTGCTGCTAACAAGAGAGCCAGCCAGCTTGGCAATTTTGTTGACTGTTCACTGTTGAAAATCCCGTGAGTAGGCAACTTTTGTTGGTACTTTCCTTTTTGTTTTTAAATGAAATGGGCCAGAAAGCCCTTAAACTGCAGTTTAGACTGGCATGTCACATTACATACAAAGCTATACAACCATACCTTGATTGAGTGCTAACATAATAAACTAACCAGCTAATTGTGTATGACTATGCTGAACTTCAGGTTTTATTTAATATTTAATTTCTTTCTAGATCTTTGCCCCGTGCTGATGAAACGTTTGTGTAGTCCCTGTTGGGAGGTTCGAGATAGTACTCTAGAATTCATCACTCACCTTCTGAGCTTTGATAAAGGTATAGCAGATCATAGACATGCAGTGTTGAAGGGATAGTTTAACCACTTGCTGACCTTCGTATGCATATATTAAGCCTGTCCGCAAGTGGTTATACCAAGCCATGAGACAAACTAAGAATATTTAAATCAATATGGAAGAGAGTTTACTGCCTATGGAAAAATGTATAGTTTTATTTTCATATTTTCTTTATCATTGTCCATACATTTTTTTAAAGTGGAACTTTATCCATAAAAGCTCGATAAGAATAATGTTTTTTAGCAAGGAACATACAGTACATTTCACATTAATAATTATGCTACCAAAATTAGTGTGTGCTGTAAATTGCCTCCAGTATTACTCCTCTTTCTTCTTGTTGAAGGCTGCCATTTTGCTGAAGCCCAGAGCCACTGAACAACCATAAGTCTTTAGATTGTTAGCAGATCAGCCTCTACACTGTCTGCACAATGCCGAGAGCAACTGAGCTTGTGCAGAGCAGGGTGAGATGGCGTATTGCTGGATTTTAAACAGTATAGGCACTTATTTTTACCCGCTTGCCGACCTTCCAGAGCACATAGTGGTACGT